GGAAAATATCACCATTTTATAGCTAGGTAAACCTCTATCAATGGGCTATCACACACACAAAGGTATTTCAAACCCTATGTGTTTGTGTATGTCACTGTATGTATCTATACATGACAGATATGTACATGTCAAATATATGTGTAAAGAATATGTTGTCATAAATGACTATGGAGACATTATATATACAGTAAATACAATGCATGTAGGTAGGTGCATATCTATGGATAGATGTATCTATGCATCTGTATGTATCCATAAATGTCTATCTACTTTGATGGAAAAACATCAAGTGAGTGGGATGCGTGTGTTTGTATTTTTTTATGGGGCATTCTTGATATAAACTGGACATATATTCACCTGAATTGATGGAAATTGGGAATCGAGGAATCCAAAGTATTCTCTATGATCCACGCATGGATAATCTATGATAACCTCAATGCACAAGCGCCTGTCATCTTTCAACGTACTTCTTCAAGCATCATTCTAATCCCTTTGTCGATGATGGTCGTTTCTTTTATGCCCACATGTGATAGAGTATTTGTATGTGTATATATATATATATCCTATATCCTACGTCGTGTTATAAATACCCTGAGCCAAACCCTAAAGCGAGACTTTGGAGAAAATCAGTGTGATTGAGTTTCAGTCGTTGAGCAAACTAATTATTAGCACTCGAGCAAAGTTGCCAAAATGGGGAAGCAAATATCAAACAAACATCTCTGAATCACCAAAATAAGAGCTGGTTCCACAGTTCAATGCTGAAACTAATCGACAATTGTATACTGGTTGGTTTTTTTACCCCTCTGAAACATATTAGTCAGTTGGGATTATGAAGTTCCCAATATATGGAAAAATAGAAAATGTTCCAAACCACAAACCAGTATAGATGTGTTTTTTCCCATGCCCAAAACAACAGCAATCCAGCCGGATGATGTTGACCAAACTTTCAGAGCGCCTGGTTGAATATCAATCACCTGCAGGCTGCACCATGGAGGGGGGAACAAACAGATGTTGAGCTATGTTGAGCCGGGAATCATGGACTCGGCCCAAATCCTTCCAAACAGGTCTTGAAAATGGTTGGGAAAAACCGCGCCATACCCCAGGCCTGAGCAGCAGTCAGCAGGTAGTTGGGTAGCAACCACTCATGCAACAAGGCCATCACCACGGGATGCGCAATCATCTTGTCCTCGCAGCTGTGTCTTGAGCCCCAGTTTTTCGCAAATCTTCCCAGACTTCCCATTTCTGGCGGATTACCTAGGGAAATTATTGAAAAAAGGATGTATTCAAAAATCCCAACATCTCCCATAGCCTTTCCCAGAAACCTCCATGGCTAGTTCGGGGATTTCCCGCCATAATGTGGCCAAAACAATCTTTTAAACCATCCCCCAGTCATCACCATTTTTATAAGTGGTATATATAAACCATTCCCAGTCATAGCTGGTTTACGGCATTGTTTTACCCACATGATTGGGGAATTTCCCGCCAGCCATGCTTAAAATCCAAGGGGATCGCCGTTTCCACCACAACTCTTCAACTTCAGCATATCCCCATATCCAATGATACTCCCATTATTTGATGGTTCAATCCCCTTAAAATCCCATTAGAATCACATCAAAAATCGCAAAAAAAAAAAACGTAAAACCAGAACTCTTCAACTTCAGCTCCAAGTCACAAGTGCACGAGTTTTACCCACCACCGAGTAGACGCGCTTGGTGCTATATCCTTCGAAGTTGTTGCGGCCTCCCGCGAGGCCATCGATGGTTTCCCTACTGGTGTCATATCCTACATTAAAAAGAAAACAGAAATAGATGCTATTATATGTTATTATCATATCTTATTATTACTGTGTTATGATGATTTCATGATGATTTGATGATTCAAACATCAACCAGACAAGTGGATGATTATTCAATGGTATGACAAACTGATGATTTCATGATGATTTACCTGTTTACATCCGGATGAAAGCTGAGGAGTTTCCGAATCGTCTCATGGTCTCCGAAAATCATGAAGTTTTCAGCCGTGTTTCCTCGAAAAACTGAGAGCTGTTTCAAATTTTGGAATGTCTAGAGTTTGGAGTCTAAATTTGGGATTTCAGGCTGGATTTGGGGGTCAAGAATTTGGATTTCTTCATCATTAATTATAAGCTTTGCCCACGAATTTTCAATGCAATGTTCTTTTCGCAAACTAAATACGTGCTTGAAAAGATATATCATAATATATTATAATCAATCCTGAACCTTGTTGAAAGCCCAAAATTTTGTTAGAATCGTCAAGATTGATCATCGTTTGCGGTAAAGTGTTCTTGACATCTCGATCAACATATACATCATCTCAGTGAAAGCGGTGAAGTATCTATAAATTACCATCAATTATCAATGGCGGTGTCCGAAAATGTGCTCCAAATCATCAAAGTCAAAACAAACTATTGAAACTAATTATAGTAACTATAGTTTTTGAAACAACCATTGGTAACCATGGTGACGACTGGGGATTTTCTGATTTTAGGACAGAGATATCAACAGATTCTCAGTTCCAAGGACTCCATGGATGCCATATCCGCCTGACTCCTGGAGCAAGGGCTGTATGGCCTCGCGAATCTCCATCGCTTCCTCTCGTGTCAACAAGTTCGGCAGGATTACCTGGGCACATCTGGTACCACAGCGATTTCTTGCACCGCGCGAGATTTTTGGAAGCTGAAGATGTTTCCTCGCCTTTTTTGGTGACAGATTCTGTTAAGACTTTCCAGGAGGGACATGGGTATGGGTCAAAATTAGGTACCCCAATAATTGGATGGTTAATACTAAACTAGACATTCACATCTGTGGTCCCCTAGGTCTTCCATTTTGACCCACATCCACATGGGAAATGCGCAAAATGGGCCAATCTGTGAGTCGCACACGCGCAGATTGGCACAGCATGTTGAACTCCTCTTGTGGTTTCACCAGACGTCTGTGCCCCAGGGCCACAAAAATCCACAAGACGGTGGGTTCATCAGCTTCCCTAAGCAACCATTTTTTTGGGGATATAATATCTGGTTGGTGGTTTCAACCCCTCTGAAAAATATGAAAGTCAGTTGGGGATACTATTCCCAATATATGGAAAAATAAAAAATGTTCCAAACCAACAACCAGATATAATCCATTTTCACACACACACACAAATTTATATATATATAACCTGCTTAGATCCCCATCAGATCTCAGCAGTTGGTTATGACTCATTATGACATTGCCAGCAATAGCCATGGAAAATCCACCCATTTTTTAAGTTCGGTAAACCATCTATTTCGATTAGGGCCATCAACAAACCATGGCGAACTGTGAATGTCAGAACCAGGTTGGGTATCTTTAAATATCCTGTGTTTCTGTTGGCTTCTCCCATCGGGTAAAACCACACAGCTTGCCCTATGTTCCACATCCCTCGTGGTTGCATCCTGGCAATGACCATCTGGCAATCTGGTTGCTGCTGGTTGTTTTCCCCTCCGGGCTCATCAAACGTGGCTCGGAAATTCCCATGAACAAATGAAGGTATAGATGGTTTTGGTTGCTATATATATACCATCTATCAACATATATATATATATGATATACCATTATGTATATATATGATATACATTTGATATACCATTAGAAAATATATATATCAACTATAATATATATATATATATGTATATATCATACATATATATATACTAATATGTTCTATCATAGCTGGGAAAATCATCGAACTAGATGGTGGATCTTCCATTGAACACCTTTGAATTCCCCATAGGCCCCACTTAGTAAATGGACCAAAAAACCCTAGTTGTATATGGCAATATATATCCCCAATTATATATATATATATTATATATGGGAATATGGGAACATATATTATATATGGAAATAGGGGAACATATTATATATATATGGGATTATATGGTTCATATACAAAATTATAAATGGTAGAGAATATGAGAAAGTGAGACTCTGTCAGGGCGTGCCCACAGCACACCAATCAACGAAGAGAGAATCCCTACGGTTGGTCCTGCCCAGCCACAAATCCCTTTTCATGGACTTCTCGCACGGCCCATGCCAGCTCTTTTGGAAGCGTCTTTCCCTCTAGCCTGGGCGCGGCCCTTGGACAAATGTTTGATGGTTGGAAAAAATATGGTTCAACAAGAAGTCACCCAACTTTCCTCCAATTCCAACTTTCAAAAAAAAACACATCAGATCATCCGATTGCATCAAAGTCCAAAGTTCAAGAAATTCTTCAATTTTCGTGGTGTTTCAATCAAACTTCCTTGGTCATCCAAAAAAACACCCGTTTTGCCAAGGTGTAACGAAAACTGTCTTAGAGGTCGACTTAAAATCGGGGATCCAAACTCCTCCAGTCATTTTGGGGAAAGCAATGCTGAGCCAATGGGGGCCCCATTTTTCGGACACCTCTTCTGAGAAAAATCCCCAACGGATAGTGTAGTATATATATATAATAATATGTGGGATTACAATGGATAATATAATATATATAGATTGATAGTTGAACAGATGTGTTTGGCATCTTTTGGCATCGTAGATTCGTCGCTTCCAAGACACGGTGCTTCCAGGTTATCCATCACCGTCTTGTCAGTGTTGATGCCGCTGAAGGAGTGGTACTTCCCGGCACCGGCCACATCCGCCATGGCACAGCGCAGGACCCACAGGACCTGGACCTGGACGGGGCCCCGGGGGCTTCGAGCCAAGCTGTGGGCGACCATGGCAACGTTCGTTCTTATGGCCATTAAAAAAGGGGCAAAATATGGGAAGAACCATGGACTTGGAGTTCCAAATTCTGAGACATAAAATGACATAAATAAGGTAAAATGGGAAAAATTGTATTTGAAACTGTTTGGAATCTTAGATTGTGTCCGTTTAGACTTGGATGCGTCGCAGATGTTTTTAGTCATGACAACTCCAATTTTCCCCCAATGCCGGGTGCGGTATCCGGATCAGCACCCTTCAGAAAGCCCTTCGATTCGCCTGGAAATTCGCACAAAAGCCTGGAAACAGGAACCGCAGGAGTCTCCAGGAGAATCTGATCTAAGAGGAGCCTCCTGTAGTGGTCATAGAAAACACATAGAAACACCATCAATTTCAATAGAAATAGGGATTTCACGGGATTTTACCAGGCAAAGTCATGGGAAAGTCATGGGATGAATGCAAATGACATCACTATTTGGGAGGGGGGTTGGCTCCAATCCCTAAGAAAAACCACAGGAAACCTAAATCTGGGGTTGACATTAGGAGTGATCTATTTCTTATCCATTCAACTTGATCCATGCGTCAAGAAAAAAAATCTCATATGCGCGAACAAAAAAACTCCAGGCACGCCATGGACCATGTCCAACAAACGTAAATTAAGAGGTAACAAGTGAAAGGTAGCAACAATCCTGGGACAATCCTGCGACATCCAGGTGTTATCTGCCAAGGCGCTGCCAGTAGGTCCTGTGATATCCCAACACTCCTCATCCTCCTCACCAAGTTGAAACGGCTGGGTTTACCCCGCGACGGCCCAATTTTAAGGATGTGAACCAGAGGTTTCCTCTAAAATGGGGGGTATCCCCAAATCATCCAAACATATCCAAACTGAATAGGATGTTCCATTATAATACCATCCATTTTGGGGTACCCAAGTTTTTTGTGAAACTTCTATATGGAAAAACAATACCTTCAAGCCAAAGATGCTGGCATGTGACTCCTAGGCCATTCCACTACCTTGGAACCAGGCCATGTATTGTAGTTTCTCCTGTGAACACTGATCACATCCTCAAACTGATACCGAACCATGTTGCAGCTGCATTGAGGTCTCAATATATCTTGATACGTGTATTTCCCTCAACCCATGCGGTTCAATGCTAAAAAGTCTGACTTTGGATGATTTGGGGGGTACCCCATTGAGGAAACGCCCGGATGTTTCAAGGACGTCATCCCAGCCCCAGTGGCTCCTTCAAGGTGACGTGCCCCTCGGACGCACCCACAAAGCGACCGGAGAAGGTGGCCTCTGTACTGGCAAGGGTCCCTAGTAATCCCCAATATAGATGATTCATGATGATTCATGATTAATGTGGGTAAAACTATCATAAACCATCCCCAAAATCACCATGGGTGGTATACACCATCAAAATGGGATGGTTTATGACATTGTTTTACCCACATTTATGTTGAAAAGTATCTTTTGGGCCTTGATACTGTACATGATGGGATAGCTTGCCTGCAGCGGCAGGAACTGTGCATGAGGAACCGACGAACTTGTTTACCAAAGGGTCATTCCTGTTCATGTTTCTGGTTTCAAACACCATTTGTGCTGGTTAAAACCGTCAATTCTTGATGCTGAACTTCACCCATCGGTGATATCTACCTATCCTGACGCGACGAAGGTTTTTTTGCGGCTTTTGATGGATGAAATTTCCGATTTCCCACCTGAAATCCCAAGGCTGTCCTTGTTGTTTGTTTAGTTTTTCCTGGATTCTGTGAGTTTTTCCGTGTTTTTCTTGGCTGTTGTTTGATCTGTTTGCTAGTTTTCTCTTGGTGTTTCCGTGTGTTTCTTCGTTGGTGCGTGCTAGTTGTTTCTTGCTTTTGTTCGGTTTTTTCCTGGGTTTTGAATGGTGTTTCTGGAACAAGACTTCTGATCAACTGAGCATTGAACCTTTGGCAGTCAGGACTTAACAGGACAGAGACTTGGTTTTTCACGGAGGTTTCACCGTTTTTTTCTGGCTTTTGGATGGGTGAGCTGCCTCGAAATTCACCCAAAACGCCCAGCCTCCACCTCCTTGGCTGCACCAAGTCCAGGGTCGCCGCGCGCTGCGCGCAGGCGGTGGCCTCTGGGCCCACCCTCCACCTGGGGATGATGATGACCCATGGAAAAATGGCGGATTTGATGGGATTTAGCTGTTAAAAAAGGTGATTTCCTTGGATTTACCTATGAGAAAAATGGTGTGGTGTAATTTTTAATGGGATTTACCGATTAAACAGTAGATGATCATTTCTATCATGGAATTTACCGATTAAAAATGATGATTGACTGGGAGTTCACCAACCAAAAATTCTGCTGTTTAATGGGATTTGACGAATCAAGAAATGATGGTTGCCCTCTGGTAATTCAACAGTTTGCTATGGGCAATTTTCGACAGATTCAACTGATTCAACTCTTGGTTTCTGATATCACAGCTCCCAAGTTCTCTTGTGAGGGATCCACCCTGGCTGCCATAACAATCATAACAACCATTTGGGGGATGGTTCTTACAGGTTCTTACAGGTTCTTACAATCCACGGCAATATTGGGGTTGGTTTATGGCGGTTTACCAGACTGTATTGATATTTCACCTTCAGCATGATCCGAAACTGGTGAAACAAACAGTGGACTATGTTCATTCAGTTCTGGAGTCAACCATTTAAAATATTGGGATGATGGCGCAAAAATATGTGTACAAGGTCTACAATAGCATTTCTATAGCTGGGATCAATCTATTTGTACAACATATAAACAGTATATACACTCGAATAATACGTAGAACTATGATGATATCATTTTATCATGTCTATACTAGTTGCACTATCATGGTTCATATCTGTGGCATGTCATACTATCAATCTATCTGACAGAATCTATGTAAGCTTCAAGCATTGTCTGAACAGTCATTGTGATTATACTGTGGGCCTCAAGTGTTACTGTCAGATATAATGAATAGTCGGTTGTGCTCACCCTTGATCCTTGTTTGTCATCATTAGAATTGCAGGTAAAGTAATGATGCTCGTCATGAGCGCTATTTAATCATGTTTATTTAATTATTATAAATAACATCATGAGTACACATGTCATGTTTACTATGCTCACTGTTTTTCCACCAACAGCGTCGTGATAGGATGTGTGTGTGTGAATCCTGCTATCACACGCAGGCACAAACTCATATACATATGTACTTTAACCCTTGAAGTGAAAGCAGAGCAGGGGGCCACGGCTCCATTCATCAGTCCGTGGCCAACGAAGCTACTGATGTTTGGAGAGGATATGCAGTCTGATCAACTGCACGTACCTGCAAATCGAACTGTTGATTTCTGTTCCTCTATGACGCTGTTTGCTTTAAGAAAGAATTTCACATTTCGTACTGTCTCCTCTATTACTTGCACTAGCAGTTTTTGATTTTCTGAGCTCGTTCGGGAGCCTTCATGTATTGCGCTGACATGGCATCGAGCTTGTTCGGGAGCCTTCATGTATTGCGCTGGCATGGCACTGAGCTCATTTGGGAACCTTCATGTGTTGCGCTGGCATGGCACCGAGCTGATTGAGGATCTTTCATGTTGCATTGGCGTGGCACCGAGCTATAGTTTGGACATTTTCATATAGTGTACTTGCATAGCATTGAGCTGATTCGGGAGCCTTCATGTGTTACATCGGCATGGCACTGAGCCATACTTTAACAAAATTTTTATGTATTGTACTTGCATGACATCGAGCTGATTCGGGAGTCTTCATGTGTTGCATCGGCATGGCATTGTGCTATAATGTTTAGCTTTTTTTTTTCAACCAATTGTGCTAGCATAGTACCGAGCTAGTTTGGAAGCTCTCCTGTGTTACAGCAGTTTGGAAGCTCTCCTGTGTTACAGCGGTTTGGTAGAGTAGGGTGCAATTTCTATCAGCAGTGTCGGCCAGGTTTCTAAGGAATTCAAGGCGAGAACGAGATCATTCACATGACGGTCCATTTCAAACCCAATTCAGCAGTGTGTACTGGGTGCACGGCAGATTATGCCGACACCGTCGCAGGGATTCGTCCCAGCTCAAGGATTTTCTCGCGACACATTAGCGTGTCGTGTAGGATGACTGTCATGTAGATGACAGTAGAAGGAGCCCAAATGGGCGAAGAACAGCCTAGCGGCACTCAAAAGGACGCCTAGCGGTGAAGGACGCCTAGAGGTGAAGGACGCCTAGCGGTGAAGGAGCCTTAAGGCGAAGACTAACTGATACATGGATGTTGCGGCACTCAGTCCACCATGCAAAGACTTGGTTGTATGTGTGTGCATGTGTGTGTCAGTGTGTGTTCCTTTGGTCTAAATAACCAAACCAGTGCTTCTCTTTGCATTATATCATTCCGTGGGAAGTTCGGAATTTGAATTCTGCATGCTTGTGTGAGGCATCAAGCTTGGGTATTCGATAAATCGTGCATGTATGACTGTATGACCTTCATGATAATGCATGTGCAGAACATGATGGGCTGTTCCGAGAAATTTCTGAATTTTGTTATGTGCACCTTGATGCGCGCAAAAATGTTTTGTTTCACTTGATAATTGCAATTTGTTACTATGTGTTAATTTGTTATTATGTGTTACTGGATGCTGGCAAACCACTGTTTCTATAGCTGCTATAGCCATGCCGTCAAAAAGTGCTGGGGGTCCGCCTCCTCAATATGATGGTCAACGACAACGCGGTCCTTTCACGATGTCTTGGTTACCACCATTGCCTCCACCACCTGCGCAGGTTCAACCCCAGGTTCATGTGAGTCCCATAGTCAATTCACCACCTAGACCAATAGCGAGTTTGAGTGTGCGGGGACAGCTGGGTGAATACCGGCTTGAAGTCTCGGACGCACAGGGTCTTCAACAACTTACTCAGATGATGGATCGTCTAAGTCAAGTGGAAGCACAACTCGCTTTGACCCAGATAGCTCAAACGGCATATCAACCTATTTTCCCCTCTGTGATGCCCGTTCCCAACCTCATGATGCCCGAAATGTTAGCCCCTTCCACAGTGGCAGAACCTAACAAAGTTGGAAGTGCTTCTCAATCGGTCGCAAGAGGGAGTGGCCATGATGCAGTCTTAACCTCAGAAGGTGTTGGAACCGCAGCAGCCTCAGATTTGAACTCGTCTTCGCCTCAAAGCCAGCCTGCCAAGTATAAACCTCGTTTACATGGTGCAAGAGTTCAGACACATGATTTCCATGGAAAGATCAAATACACTGAATACACAACGATTCAAAGACTGACGGACATGACGGTGCATGATTTTCGCTGGAAAGACAGCACAGAACGAGTCTTGGAAGTTGGACACCCATTGTGTCGACAGTGTTTTGTTACACCAATACTTGCTGGCTTCTTCTGTGATGCCCTTCAGCCTCTGACCCGCGGAAATTTTCAGCAGTGCGTATGGGAAGAAGTATATTATTTACTCAATGAACGGTTACATGCAGACTTGTTTCAAGTTTCTGAGAGACTTGCGAATGCTTTGGAACTTGGTCGGGTAGTGGAAACGTCACAGAAGCACGCCCCAAATCCAGAATATTATACTCGCAAGCGGCGGTTTATATTGGAACCGGAGATTACCATCCAGGCTACGCCTTTTGGGGATTTCTTGGCAGATCAAATTCGTTCAACCTTTCCTGGTGACTTTCATACTCTCAAGGAGGCATGTTTTGTGCTTAGCAAAGCGATGAATTCTTTTCCAACTTTGATTGAGATGTTTCAGAAAGCAGAATTTATTCAGCTTTCACATTCAGCGGACTCTACGACCACAAAGTTCAAAGGGGCTGTGATTCTCCATTTGGACATTCCTACCTTCAAGACAGTTGGTGATGCTCCTCAATTTCCCTCTGTTTTTACCTTTGCACACAATAGTAGTATTTTGACTGCCTGTACCATTCTACGGGACGGGTATATTCGACCTTCAGCTGCTGCCGAACATCAAGCTCAATGGTTGCCAGTTCCTGGTTTCTATTCCAGGGGGAGCATGAGTAACAGTGACCGTGAAGAAGATGTCAAACGATCACTGAAAGAAACATTCCGAAAGGCAATGGCATATTCACATTTCTCAGACGCAACTCGCCCCACCAGTATTTTTGGAGTTGCATATTCGCGACAGCACCAGCACTGCACCATACATGCCGGAGGCGTTTGTGCGGATCATGCCGCAAGTCTCTTTTGGGATGCTTGTCATAATGTTTCTGATCGGCGCTGGATTTTCAGGTCCCAGTTAGCGCAAGTCAAGGGCATAGCCGTGTATATTTAGATATGTTTAGATTAATTTGTGAGCGCAGCGCCAAAATAATATATTCACCATGTGCCCCTGCATTTCTGTTGCGATTTTGTGAGCGGAAGATGTGGCTGTCATATCAACAGTACAGAATGATAGAGCCGTTCGCGGTGATTATGTTATCAGTGAGTGTGAAACAGGAATGGCAAATTGAATCAATTTGATGTTTGTTTGGCAATTAACTTCTTGAAGTGATGTTCACAGTTTGATCCCCTCGCAAAATCCGGGTATTTACTTTTAGCTTTGTCGTTTTGATTTCTCATTTCAAGCTACCAAAAGTGGCGAGTATAGTGTTATACCAATAGGTGAGATGTTGTGACAAATTGGACACACTTTTCACTCACATGCACTTTTTTGTCAAGCCCTTAGAGTGACAGTGTGGGTAGCGATCTCAGTCCGCAGTTCGTCTTAGCCTTAGTGCAGTGTTACCTCTGGGCTTTTGGCTCGGATGAGATTGATCGTTCAGCATTCACAACCTGCACACGTCTGTTGGGCGCAACTTCAAGATATTTTTGCATTGCATTTACATGTTGATCCAGAATATTTCCGATGTATCGATGAGGCGCTGCAACTTTGCAGAATACGTTTTCCACACAGACACATGACCAAAAACCAGCTGCTTCAGTACGCCTAGATTGGTAACGAGGATGAAAACAGGGCTGACATTGCGCATGTACAAGATGTCGGATTGATACTCTTTCCTTCCTCCGTTGACATTGGTGCTTCTTCTTCATGATCATCAATTTCCCTGACAAGAGCATGTACATGACAGACTGCTCCTGAAGCATCAGAATTGCACAGTTGAAATTGCACCAAACATGTTGTGACCATTTGGTTTCAGCTTAAGCTTGGCACTTCAAATAAGTAAAGACATGATTCCGCTTAGAACTTCAAAACTCCAAAAGTTGCTTGTTTCGTCCTACTTAATGGCCCTATCGGGCCCAGTGTGTGTGTGAATCCTGCTATCACACGCAGGCACAAACTCATATACATATGTACTTTAACCCTTGAAGTGAAAGCAGAGCAGGGGGCCACGGCTCCATTCATCAGTCCGTGGCCAACGAAGCTACTGATGTTTGGAGAGGATATGCAGTCTGATCAACTGCACGTACCTGCAAATCGAACTGTTGATTTCTGTTCCTCTATGACGCTGTTTGCTTTAAGAAAGAATTTCACATTTCGTACTGTCTCCTCTATTACTTGCACTAGCAGTTTTTGATTTTCTGAGCTCGTTCGGGAGCCTTCATGTATTGCGCTGACATGGCATCGAGCTTGTTCGGGAGCCTTCATGTATTGCGCTGGCATGGCACTGAGCTCATTTGGGAACCTTCATGTGTTGCGCTGGCATGGCACCGAGCTGATTGAGGATCTTTCATGTTGCATTGGCGTGGCACCGAGCTATAGTTTGGACATTTTCATATAGTGTACTTGCATAGCATTGAGCTGATTCGGGAGCCTTCATGTGTTACATCGGCATGGCACTGAGCCATACTTTAACAAATCTTTTATGTATTGTACTTGCATGACATCGAGCTGATTCGGGAGTCTTCATGTGTTGCATCGGCATGGCATTGTGCTATAATGTTTAGCTTTTTTTTTCAACCAATTGTGCTAGCATAGTGCCGAGCTAGTTTGGAAGCTCTCCTGTGTTACAGCAGTTTGGAAGCTCTCCTGTGTTACAGCGGTTTGGTAGAGTAGGGTGCAATTTCTATCAGCAGTGTCGGCCAGGTTTCTAAGGAATTCAAGGCGAGAACGAGATCATTCACATGACGGTCCATTTCAAACCCAATTCAGCAGTGTGTGTGAGCTACGTCAGACCCTATGAACAAGGGATACAATCTAAGCATGGAGAATTGGGATATGTGGTTTTCAATGAAAATGATGGTACCCCATTCCATCCATTGGTTAAGAATCATTTCCCACCCGCCAAAAAAAAGATCATGACTGGGGGGATCAATCTCCCATGTTTCAAACACCCCCATAGCATCTTACCGTGGTTCAATATATCCCATATTATTATACCATTAAATCCTCTTGAATTCCCAATAACGATAGAGGCATCTGGCGTTAAAGGTGACTGGTATTGACTGGTCTTCCTCCACTGGAACTGGTCCTTTTCACCTTTTTCTGTCACAAATCACACATCTATTTCAGTCACTTTCTATCAGAACCATCATGAACCCCACCTATCAACCAAAAATTAAGAGTCATCGGATCATCGAGCAATTTTTTCGCGGTCTGCTGAAGCCTCATGTTACTCCCAGCCCCTGGTGTTTTTAGCACGCCCTCACCTGCCAACGTTGTCGCCCTGTCCCATCATCGAACTCAAAAAGCTCTAAACCTGAAGCTTGCTGGCTTGCCATGTGAAACAGCAAGGTTCATTGGGAATTTCAACAAAAAATCGGACTTAAAAACCTATGAAAAATGCTGAAAAATGAAGAAATAGGATGAGATATGATGTAGAACCTGATATGCATTGAGGAATGCAAAACCCGCACAAAAAGTTGGACCCGCTGACCGGCGGATTGGCCTCATGTTATTTGTTGGCTGTGAAAAACCGGTGGATGGATGTGTGGTGATCCCATTCTCATCAAACCCTAGTGGCACTCAAATACTGATGGTCTCTGCCTGTCTTGAGAATATTGACTATGGAGAGGTCGCTCTGGGCACTACATACTGGTTAGTTGAGAGCGGGATTGCCCGTTCATGGATTATGATATTCCCCAGTATATTGGTGAGTATAATCCCAGAACTACTCATCACCCAAGAATAATTTACCAATGATATTCCCATATGTTTGACAGTTAAAACATGTTGAAAATCCCCTATAAATCCCCTATAACTCCGCTATAAATCCCCTACAAATCCCCTGTAGATCTCCTACAAATCTCCTATAAATCCCCTTTAAATCCCCTAATTTCCCTATAGATCCCCTGTAAATCCCCTATACTTTCCCTACAAATCCCCTATGAATCTCCTATAAATCTCGTATAAATGATGGTTAAATCCCCGAATTCATGATCAACAGGTCGCATCAACCAACAGGTCGCCTCCCAAGTTGCGACTCAGCAGTCGTCGGCCCTGAGGGGTCCCACCCAACCTCAGCTGCAGCTGACCGGAAGTCATGGCCCAGTTTTAGCCAGCCGTCAACTCATCAATCACTCTTGGAGTCACGAGATACCGGGTTCTTCAAACAAAAACAGCCATCGACCAAAAAGTTTCAACATCCACCGGAAGCCCCCCGACCCCCTGTCTCAATGTTGCTAACCATCGCTTCTCAATGGCCGGAGCAAGAATTGGGTTTTTTTTTGAAGGCTCCGCCAAGCACTGCTGTCACACAACATTGAAATTGGGGGACCAGGGGTGTCTAACTCTCCTCGCCAGACTTCAAGTTGGTTGGCTGTTTTTTTGGAAGAACCCGGTATCACGAAATAACACCCACAAAATCACTTGAACCAGTTGCGTCCCGATCTCGCAACAGTCATTGAGGTTTGGGCAATCGGACAAGATGCCAACCTCTGCAGGCGATTGGTGAACAAAATGGCCAAAGGCGGCCCAGTAAAGTAATTGTGTTCAGCGTACTCTCTGGTAATTTAACCTATGGAAAGCCACCATTTTTGATAAGTAAATCTACAGATGGGCCATGTTCAATAGCTATGTGAGTCATTACCAAAGGCCAATTGGTGGTGAAAATGCGGAAACCCAGAAATCCTCACTATGAAGCCCTCAGAGAGACGTCCAGTTGTCCTGAGGATCCCTGCTGGCATTCCTGTGGCACTCTTCTGTAGCATCCTGTGGGGAGTATGCTGTCCTTTTCCAATTCTCAGGAGTTTTTCGCGGAATGTAGCACTCACACGATCGCTGGATGCCATTAGTTTCTTGTCCGATTTATCAATCATATTAATACTGAAAGATCTAAACGTACCAAAAAAAAAGGTGGAACAATGGCAGGTCCAGGAATATAAATCATTCCGTTGATATTAAACACCCTCCAGAAACCATGTTTTTTTTGGATTTACTCATCTTTGGGACCATCCAAAGGGGCGTTTTTTGTGACTTGAGAGTGCAGTTCCACGAATTAATCATAGTTGTAGATGCTACAGCCCCAACTTATGGAGGTTATTAAGGTTATATTCATGAACAAACCCCAGCCAACTGCAGCCCCAAAATTCCATATTATATAAATCTAATTCATTACATTATCTCATTGAATCTCACTATAGTTGGTTCCCAATATTCTATCCAAATCCTGTTGCATCCCACTATTCTATTAATTATCCCACTTTCAAATTCCAGGAATAAGCCCAGGCCACACCCGAGTAACGTGGGGCCTCACGCCCTTCGGGAAGCAGCTGCCAACGATGTCGCCTTGCGTTGGGAATCAACCATGGCTGGGAATTTCCCCTGGGAAAATCATGGAACTACATGGTGGGGTGTTCCATTGCCATGTTTCACGGAGGTTACCGTAGTGCTGAACTCCAAACATCATCCGTGACCTATGGGGAGAAGTAGCAGAAAGCCTGGAAGGGATCCATTGAACAGCCATAAAAAGTTTGGGGCGCAATGAGGTGAGTGTTTAATATCCCGAAGACTCACCAGTTACCACAACTCCTATCAAAGCAGGCCGATGGGCCATGCGTTGATAACGATATCAGTTACCTCCATAACTTGCTACTAGCGATTGTTAAGGTGTTAAACCCAGAGTGCCCGACATTCCCAGACACCAGGCATTCCCAGATCATAGCAGATCCATTTGCATCCATTCACAAGCAATTTTGCTCTGAAAACATGGGGTTTTGCCCGTGGGAGTTTTCCCAGAGAATACCAAGGGGGTTGAATGGTTTTGATATATTCACAATGGCAGTGTGTCAAAACCTTGTACCCCTGGTGAACATCAAAATAGCTGGTAAATGGATGTTCATCTCACTAAAAATGTATCTATTGGTATTGACCCATAGCCATATCTACCCTCCGGTATCATCAAACCTCCACGGACCCGGGGCCACCCAGATTCGTCATCGTGGCCGCTCAGAGCCAAGCCTTGGAATGGCAACGGGAAACGGGATTAATATTGGTGTGATATGTTTGTTGGTATACAATATGGGTATTTTATTGGAATGGCAACCACTGGTATTATGAATTCTGGGTGTTGTATGGTGTTGTGATATTTCCAGTTTTGCAGCGAACTGAATGAGTAAATCATAGTAAATCAATACCCCTTGCTTGACTACAGGGGTTATGTTTGGTCGCTCTCAGGCTTGGGGGAAAATAATCTGTCTCACACACAGATATTCAGTCTTCGCTGCCCTGCAAATCGTCTGTGCGCCCATCATGTCAAAAAAGATCTGAGTTGCCAAGCCATCACCACCCAAAGCAGCACTCAAGTAGACCTTGGATTTGCCATGATCAATGAGGGATGGGGTTTCAACCCACAAAATCCACAAAGGCAAGTCTAAGTGCTGTCAATGTCGCGCGATTGGGCCGCTAGGCGGCAGCTGTTTGTTTCGGATATGCTCGTCCCTTTGCACTCTGCCACGCATCTAACAAGTATCAGGTGGTTGGAAAACTCTACGACTCTAAGTAGTTCCTTTGCTCCCCTTTTAATAGGGAAATATAGGGAATACCTTAGTTCCCTTCAAACCACTGGATTGTCAAAACTCTTTCAGTCACAAACCTTGAGCGCCATCCGAAATTTCTTCCAACATGTTTCTTGGGTTTAATTCCGATCATCAACATATTCCCTGTTTATATATGTGTGCATAAAAAGTTTTTAATGTGTTTTCTACATATCATATATATATATAAGTATATATTATAACTATATAATTACATGTCATATATATATATTAACCAAAAAAAAACAGGGGTGTGCAAAATCACAAACCCTCCATCTGGTCGACCTGGACCCAAAAATTCTGCTGCGATTTTATCGACCGAGTGTTCCGACATGTCCAGGTTCAGGATCCCATCGTTTGATGTAGTACCTCGGCAGGGCGCAAGCTGGATGGCTGTGTCAGCCATGCGACATAGCGGCTATACCATAATATGTTTTAGCAACCTAAAATGTCATAGATAGAAAAGTTGGAAAGCTGGAAATGATTTTTGGGAAGGATTAGCTTTTTCACATCGGAGAAAAATTGCACACACAGGTTCTAATTAGAGAAAGGCAACCAATCATGGAAGATTTTTCTACGCAGTGAGGATGGGTTTGTTGGCAACGTGCCCTGAGTCTCACGCCATGTGCTGGTCTCCTGCGAGTTTGTGGCTTCAAAGTTCAGAAATCAATGCTTAGTAATCCCAGAATGGCTGGAACTTCAACTCGACAAAATCTGCAAAGACAAAGTCATGTAAACAGGATTAAACGCAAGTTTACGCAAGTGCCTCTAAATCAAAGAGATTAAGCCAGATTGCAAGCATGAAACAATTCTCTTGGAGTCCCCAGCCGGCGCGTGCATCTTTCTTGGACTTTCTTGAGTCATACCGTCCATACCCATAGACCCCTTGATGTGTATAAACAGTTCGGCCTTCACTTCTGCAAGCTGAAGATGGGATTGTTGACAGGGTCTTCCGGTCTTCCCCCGTGTTTGAGGGTTTTCAAACCACGGATCCTGCAGTCGTCGCAAATCAATCCATGCTCCAGGATGCTCTGGGTCCTTTTGAAGACGCCGACTGGTCTGCACCAATTGAGTGGCAAAGTCCCTCTCCAAATGCTTCAGAAGCTCCTTGAAATTCAGGGGATGGGCAAACCAACAGGGCCCCAGATGGCCCCAGACTTTGGGGCACCACACAGTCGGAGACATTTTTGGTTTTCTAGAAATCGATGGAAAAATTCTTGGGACTCCCATAATTTTCTCAAAGTCATGGTGGAATAAACGTCCATTTTATGGCAGGCTACCCCATGGTATGACAAAGAACTTCTCTTCGGAAAGGGGGTCGACTTGATGCCTTGATGGTCATGGTCATCCATGACGACTGGACTTGAGGGTACCACCATGACGACTTGGAAACCCCCTGGAATCCAGATACCAACCTGGATATGGCCGTCCTGGTTGGCCTCCTCTCCTTGTTGAAAATCGATGTCACACCATTGCCTTGTCCCAAACCCCGCGACTGAACAACATCGATATGGAAAATCCCTGGGGAAACCCTTGGGGAATGATCTAAAAATGCTGGGTTTTTCACGTGTCATTCCACTGAAGGACGCAAATTGGTGCCTGCCAAAATGAGTCCGTCGATGTTCAAGAGGGGTCATCTACCACCTATCATCATCTATCAATGGACCATCGTTTCCATAGTATGTTAGATCACCAAAGGATATCTACAGTCGCGACACCTCCAACATCAGCTCATTGGTGCTTTAACAACCCAGCCCCAATAAGGTGTAGTCATTGCAAATCAGCATCCCAAAGATGTTTTTGCAAAAAGGTGAAAAAAAACATATTGAAATCATCAACCACTTAACTTCTATCAAAATCATCAAAGATCCAATTTTCGCCTCGTTCCATCCATTCCGAAATTCTTGCCTCCGCATCAAGGCTTCTCGTTCTTCGGAAGCTGTGGCCTCAGGCACGGCTCCGAGATTCCCTGTATTCTTTAGCTGGGTAGGCTGTCTATGTATAAATGTATGTCAAGTGTATAGCTATATATAGCTATCAAACAGGTCTGAAGGCCTCTTTCAGAATTTCACCTGCCGGGTCGCACAGACTCAAAAGGCCGGAGCGAATAGATAGATAGCTACATAGCTAGATAGCTAGATAGATAGCTAGCTAGATAGCTAGCTAGGTAGATAGGTAGATAGGTAGATAGGTAGATAGGTAGATAGGTAGATAGATAGATAGGTAGATAGATAGATAGATAGATTGATAGATCGATAGATCGATAGATCGATAGATAGATTGATTGATTGATTGATAGATTGATAGATTGATAGATTGATAGATTGATAGATTGATAGATTGATAGATTGATTAGTAGATTAGATAGATAGATAGATAGATAGATAGATAGGTTGATAGATAGATAGCTAGATAGCTAGATAGCTAGATAGCTAGATAGCTAGATAGCTAGATAGATAGATAGATAGCTAGATAGCTAGATAGATAGCTAGATAGCTAGATAGCTAGATAGCTAGATAGCTAGATAGCTAGATAGCTAGATAGCTAGATAGCTAGATAGCTAGATAGCTAGATAGCTAGATAGAGAGAGAGAGAGAGAGATAGAGAGAGAGAGAGAGACAGAGATAGAGATAGAGATAGAGATAGAGATGGAGATGGGGATAGAGATAGAGATAGAGATGGAGTCAGAAGCAGAGATATAGATACAGATGTATATATCTATATATATACAGATATATAGACATATACAACAATATACAGATATATTTATATATACAGATATATAGATATATAGATGTATATATGTATAGATGCATAGATGTATAGATATGTAGTCATATATTATATATACATATATATATATAGACATATAGATTTGTCTATAGATATATAGATAAAGATAGGTGTATATATATATATATGCTCACCCACCCCACTATATATATAGAGAGAGAGATGGATGTATAGATATATATATGATATATAGGTATATATGTATAGATGTATAGATATATATATATATAGATAGATAATTCGGTATATAGATGTATATATGTAGATATGTAGATGTGTAGATGTATAGATATATGATATATGTATATAGATGTGTATACAGATATAATATATATATGTAGATTTTTAGATAAAGATAGAGACATGTGTATACACTATGAATACATATATACATACATACTATAAATGTTTCATATGTTTCTATATATATATATATAATCATATATTGTATAGCCATGTATGGCAAAATAAGGCATCCCGAAACTATTGAAAATGCACTAAAAACTACCATCACCTGGACTGCTAGTGGATTGAGTGACTACCCAACTCGGAGGCAAAAAAAGGGTCACTTGACGTGGCTGCAACGCGGGGCCCAGTTCTAAATTGGTTTATAAGCCCATGAATTTGTAATTGTGAGTATCATCAACCATCATAGTTGTGAGACTTCTTTGCGCCAACTTAACGATCGTAAACGGGGGCCACACTTTCTATAGGCCCTACCAGCCTGGTCCTGCCTTTGTCCAACCTGGGCCCCCAGCAATGGCGCGGATACATTGCACCGCAGCGTCGTCTTTGCTGCAGCCGTGGTCGATCAGATCCTCAAAGTACAAAGGCGACCGGACAACGTTCGGCAAGGCATGTCATGGTACTTGGAGGGTCCGGGAAGTACACCAACATAGATTTTACCCTCTGGTAAACTAACATAACTATGGAAAATCACCATTTTTCATGGGAAAATCCACTAGTAATCGTCATTTTCAATAGCTACGTTAAATTACCAGAGGGTAATAGGTTTGACCTGAATAACTCCACTAACTATGCTTTATGATACGTATAACTTATAACTATAGTTAATGTGGCAAACTCAATAGAAAAGCATCCCCAAAGTCACCATAAATAGCTGGGATTGAAACCGTTTCTGGCATTGGGTCGCCCATGTGTTAATGTTTTAGCTGAAAATGACCATGATTCACCTTCCAATGAGGATGTGCTTTTTTTCCGACTGTTTCACCGGCGAATGACTGGGGTATGTTGGGGCATACCGAAAAAAAAAACGTATAGCCGAGTTGACTTCCCGGATCATCCCATGTGATAAGATCTATCGCTGACCATGGCACCTATTCTCCAGCGACTGTGCAATCACGGGTATGGAATACGTATGCAATGAACAAGCAGTTTTGATTGCCTGCAATCGCAATAGCAGTAAAAATCAACAAATATATATATATATACACTGTATATATATATATATTAAATATCTAACAAAACCCAACGAGATCTAACTCAAACCATTTACAGAATTTGTATAGATATCATTATTATTGGTTATATACCTACTGTTCACCATTCTTGACCATATACCCAGTCTATTGTTGGTTATATACCCATGACCCTCTGGTAAATTCACACAGGCCATGGAAAATTACCACTTTCAGTAGGCAAATCAACTAAATGGGCCATCTTCCATAGCCAAACTTCAGCATTGTCGGCGTCCTGCGCCTGCGCCTCCAATTTGTTGGCTTCCCCAAAGGCGTTGCTCAGGCAGAGCTGGGCGCCGCCCGCCCAACCTGAACGCAATGGCTTTTTGGAGGGCCAAAATATGGGGGATTTTGCCATGGAAAATCATGGAAAATATGGGGGTTTCATGGAAAATCATGGAAAATCATGGAAAATATGGGGGATTTTGCCATGGTTCATGTGGTTTCATGGAATTTGATGAGAACTCATTGGATTTCATTGGATTTCAGGGGACCATCCATGACATTTGACCATGGAAAAAAACGGGAGTTTCTTGTTGGAATGTGATGGGGATCCCGTTGGTATCTCCAACAACCTGGTGGTTTCTTGTTCTGGGAGGTTTCAACTGGTGTCAAAATACCTCCCTGGCAAAGGAATCAATGGAGTTGATTTGGCAAATCGTTAAAACATGGTGATGTTTTCTCAAGAAACAAGAGAAAACTAGAATGAATGGCTGGATTTTATTGCTGCTATCTATTAGTCTATAAGTCAACATCATATACTAAAGTGAATTGGTTCCATTCTGTGTTGGCAAGGTTGTTTGGTATCTTTGTGTTGATCTACACCCTCGCGTCATCAGCCACGTGGCAAGCTGCTTGTCCTCCCCGAACTAGCAATGGAGGTGTCTAACTCGGAAAATCACATGACAATGAAAATATGGAGGTTTTAATAGTGTATTCCATTATGTTTAATATTCCATTACATTAATATGGATCTATTAATATGCCATTAATATGGAATCACATTAATATGGAGGTTTTTTCATGGGAAAATCGAGAATTTGCCATTGCCATGTTTGATTACTGGATGGCAACCTGGCTTACTGGCAAAAGCCCCAGGCCTTTTGGTGTCACTGATGTTCCAAAAATCCCAAGCCAGGTGAGCAGTTGCCGCAGGTTAGCTGTCCAACTGATAAGCTGGTAAATGGATATGATAATATGCATCCCCAAGAAATGTTTGATCTTAGGTTTCAATCCTCCCCAATATCTACGTCTTAATCCCTCACCAGACAAGCCATCAAAGTCCCCCCATCTAATTTTCCCTGTTTTCCTTCTATTGCGTAAGAATGGTGATTTCGGTATATCGGGCAAATTGAACCTCAAGTACCTAAGCCAGGTGATGTGTCCATTCCCAACCATCATGTAAAGCAGGGTCATGGTCAGGTCGCGATATTTTGCCCCACAATCCCACATTTATAAATACCATCGGTTTCAACCTATCCCCAGGAAAATCCCATGAAAATTCAGCATGGTTCGCCGACTTTCCTCCAATTGTTCCATGGAACAACTCCGGAAAGTCATCGAAATTCCATCTTCGCCCCCTTTTCCTGATGAAAATCCCATACTCAAATCATGTTCCCATTTAAAAAAAAACATGAAATCCCATGAAATCCCATTGAATCAGCCTGAAAATCACCATGGAATCCCATGAATTCCCATTGAATCATCCAGAATTCACCATTGAAGCGCGGCCCCTGAGTGTCCCTGGCCAAAGGAGACCAGGCTGCGATCATTTTCGGAGGCCACCTCAATGGCCCAGTCCTGTGGCACCACTCCATGACCTGCGTGAAATCGGCACGGCTTCTGGCGATTCCAAACATGGAATCTGTGGCCGCTGTGGCCGTAGCTTCTTGGTCCCTTGTTGGTGATATGGTGTGTCAAAACCCATGGAAATCCCCTTTTTTGTTCACATCAAAATAGCTGGGTTAAATGGATGTGAATAACCCACTAAAAATGGTATCTATATAGGTATTGATCCATAGCCATATTTCATATTCGCGGGAAGGGATTACTCCATACACATCTGGCATCGCCAATACTTACCCCTCCTTTCCCAGCCTGTCTGAGCGCCGTTGGGCGTGGGCTGCCACTGGCCACGGTATTCCTCAGCCGATTGCACAGGAAGAGTGGAATCCACGCCTGAGGAAACCCAACGAATAGCGGATATCGTTGACACTTAGAAGCAGAAGATATCTGGTCGTATGCTAGAATGTACCCTTTTCTTCTCGAACTTCACATCTGGCAATCGGCAACTTTGTCTTCCAAATGGGCCATGAATTACACTATATACACATGATTCTGGGACCCTGAGATCTAGAAATGGCTCATCCAAAAGTGGATGTTGGGATGTTACCTTTTTCCTGCTGGGACGGCCCTCCAGATGATTTACATCTAATCCCTCTTCATCACCCCATAGCAACCATGGTCTATAGGGGATGTATGGGGCTTTACACCGTATATATCCGTATATAGGGGACCATTTTAGGGGTGTTTCATACACCCTCTGGTAATTTAACATAGCCATGGAAAATCCACCCATTTTATAGCTAGGTAAACCATCTATTTCTATGGGCCATCTATACCATGGCTATGTTAGTCACAACCAGAGGGTATATGTTAATATTAGGGAACTAAATGGAGGAATGATCCATCCACAATCATCCCATTGCCTCCTACGAGAAAGGCACCAGTAAGTCATACCCTCCAGTAAACGAACATAGTTATGGAAAATCACCATTTTTAAGCCAAAATCATCTCTTTTTTTCCAAAAAAAACCATAGTTATGTTAGTTTACCAGAGGGTAAGTCATAACATTCCCCTGCCATCCGAGATTCCAGGGTGGTTTCCTTGCTCCGCTCAGTTGAGGGGTTTCCATCGCCTTGCCGTGGCCCAGTCGTGGTTTTTGTCATCAAACACAGCTGGGAAATCCCCGAAAAAATGGAGGATTTCATGGGAAAATCCTCAAGAAAAAGGAGTTGTTACAGGAAATTCGACGATTTTTTTTTTAAAAGAATGTAGGCGTTCATGGGAAACACATTCACAAATGGAAGATTTTCCATGGCCACATTTGATTGTCGGGTGTGCCTGGCAGAAAACCTGTCGTTCTTCCTTGCGGCATTTCTTGTTGTCAAAATATCCGCAAATTTCAATATACCCTCTGGTAAACTAACATAGCTATGGAAAAGCACCATTTTCAGTGGGTAAATCAACTATAAATGACCATTTTCAATAGCTATGTTAAATTACCAGAGGGTACATTCAGATTCAAATGATTTCCAATATTCTTGGGAATGAGGTCCAAGATTGTCCAAGATCACATTCAGCTTCTTCCGGGATGGGCCTACTAAAAAAATGCGAACATACCATGTTCTGGTTTGGAGGCCTCCGTGTCTGAGCCAATCAAGAATGTGTGCGTCACAAAAGCAGTCACAATCTGAAGAACATGTATATAGTACATATTTATACACATCTATAATCATATTTACCCAGATCTCTATAGTCATATTTATCATATGTGGTTTCAGTTCAGTTTATTTCACTTCAGCACTTGTGACTCGCTCTCCTGGAAACGTCGTTTAAAAAAAAAAAGAAACGCAGGGAAGCTTAGCCCAACAGCCGCCTTTCAACAGCTCCAAAATCCGCGCAGCCGTCTCAGGCGCCTGTGTTTCAGCATGGGATGGTTGGCTGAAGATATCTAAAGATGGGATACTATATTATAATATGTGTTCAATATATTATCCTATAACATCTTTGATTTTTATCATATATAACATGGAAATATAGTACATGGTGGCTAATCCATATAATGGGGGGTTGAATATATATATATATACTATTATGCTATATATATATACATACACGATATATACTATAACTATTATGCTGAATATATATATATATATGTGTATATATATATATTTATTTATAGAGGTAATGAAAATATCTAAACCCCCATAGTACATGATACATAACACGTACGTACATGTACAGTACTTACCAATAAAAAATAAGTATACAGTATACGTAGGACTTTGGAATCAGAATTTGCCTGCAGTGGGAGATAGAATCGCAAAAGAACCTTGCACTTGACCAACTAGTACTGTTCAAACTGTTAAGATTAACCAACAACAACTTGTTTGTTTGGGGAAATGGGAGCTGGATCATCCTCCCAGCATGCTGATCCCAATTCATTTCAGCTCTGCCAGAAGCCTGGGGCCACCATGCCGCCGCCATTTTCCACCTGCGCCAAAGTCGCCACAGCACCCGCCTGCGTCCACGGGCCAGCCTCCGCACCCCTGGCGCCCGCCGGGCGCGGCTGCCGCCTTGCGCGTGTTGCGCCGGCCGCAGGCGAAAAATGCACAGGGCTTGGCCAAAGCCGTCGTCGATGGAGGTGAGAAGCTTCACTTTCCATCCCTCGGTGCACAACCTGAATTCACGAATGGAGGATGCAGGGATTGGCAGGGATTGGCAGGGATTGGCAGGGATTGGCAGGGTGGTAGTGTGAGAAATTTCCCATAAATGAACCATCTAAGATCTGAAGAAATTACTGCATTGCGTTTGGGGTATGTCGGCTATATGATATCCCAAGAATCATTTCCAGGTGATGTTTAAAGAATTTAAGAATCCCACAAAATGGGACATTTACCAATCCTTGGACAGGGTGAGGATCGCACATTGCCAAAAAATCAAAGGGATGTGGTGAAAGAAACAGTAAGAGCAATGATGGAACTGTTTAAACAACAATAGCTCTTTAATGGGATGTGCAGCGGGGGACAACCAAAACTCGGAGAACGGAGCCAAGCTCCAAGCCGCCAAGTCACTGATGTTGTAATCTTTGGCACAGCTCTGGATGGTGAAGCCTCACCGGAAAATCCAAGGTGTGGGGATGATTTAGCCATGGAAAATGTGAATTCTTCATGGCCCAGTTGGAATGTGGAGAACATGTGGAACGCTCAAAGACTCAAAGAGTTTTCGAGATTCTCCGCCCAGCCTTCACTTACATAATCTTACATATAACAAGAGAGTAACAAGAGAGCGGACAGAAGTTGATTGGATATCCACCCTTTTTTTGGAGCAATGTCACCCCCCGAAGATACCAAACCCTGGTTCAGGCGTGAGCTGCCATACCTAAATGCCAGTTGTACTCCCCAATAAAACCAACCAGGGACATCAGTCAAAATCGAATGGAAAAAACAAGCCGCTCTTGCGCCCACAGGACTCGCAATCTTCGCGATCCCTTGGACGTTGCAAGGACGCGCAGGGCTGTCAGAAGTGAGTCATACTGCCCCTCGTGGTACAGTACCTGACTGCAAGCACGGGAAAGTTTGGCCTAGGTGAACCAAAAAAACCTCATGCGTTATATTGGTGCATCCTAAGCTATGCATGAGTGTGTTCAGTCCTCAAGACACCAAACACATTTGCGAAAGTTGGGTACATTGCCTGCCTTGATTCGTGTTTTTTCCGTCGCCTGGCGGCTCCCAAATCACGAGTGCTTCATTCCCATCAACCCTTCCCAACAGTCAAACATCACCTAAAGTTACCTAAAGGCACTGCCAACTCCATATCCAGAAATACGTGCCTCAACCCATTAAACCCTATCATTTTTAGTTACCCTCCGGTAATCAAACTCATGGCAATGGAAAATCCCCGATCAAGCGAGGTTTTAACGGGAAAATCCTCCAAAAATGCAGGATTGACCATTGAAGCCATTGCCATGTTTGATTATTGGAGGGGACATAAATAAAAAACATCCCAGCTGCATCAGACATCAGCACCAGATCGTATCGCTGTCCATGGATCCAGCTCTCAGCATCTTGCCACGCCAGAGGCCGAATCTGGTGCAGCGCCGACGGTGGCAGGTTCTGCCGGACGTTGGCCTGGGAAAAAACCGATGGCCCCGCCATGGGTGGGATCCCAGACCCGGCACCGCATCCCGCCTCAAGCAACGGCAGCATGCCAGGTAGGTCAGTAAAGGTCACCTACGGCGACAAAGCAGTGAGGCTGCGAGGCTTGCCAGGCGATGTTGGTTGAGAAGCTGATCATCGTCATTGTCAATCCATCTCAGGTGCCTCCCAAAATTGGTTCTTACATGTTGTTACTTTATGATTACTGATCTAGGAGTCTAGGAGTTCTTTCTCAGATGATGCTGGCTCCCCTGGCGAAGCACGGCCAAAACAGGGCCAGCTAAACCTGCATCTTTCACCCAAGGATCCAGTCATCCTAGCTAATCAACCCAAAACAAAAGAATTTTTTTAGGAGAAACAAAAAACTGGCCAAAAAGTCCTTGCCAAAAACTGACCCTACAATTCCCTACTGTAGTCCCTACCATTGAAAATGGCCATTTATAATGGATTTTCCCATGAAAAATGGTGATGTTCCATAGCTATGTTAGTTTACCATATGGTACTTCCAAACTTCTCGAACTTCCCAAAGTTTCTCCCTGCGTCATGGCCTCGGCACCCAGGCGACTTGCCACCAGCCCCACCAGCCCAGTGCCGCTGCCCAGTTCCAGCACGCAGCACCGCTGTAGCCGTCGCCAGCGCGACAGGTAGGCGCTCAACAGCAACGCGGCATCCCAAACCGTGCCACCTGGCAGTGAATTTAGAAGGGATCCGGGATGATTTCGGTTGTGATCTGGAAGAATGGTTATATGATTTATATAATTCTATAGTATTATATTATATATATAATTATATAATATACATATATATATATGTTTGTGGTCTGGGAATGTCTGGGACAATTTCTATGATGGGGATTGTGGTTTGGTTTGGATCTTGGGATGATTTCAATTGAAAAAACGGCTGTCCGTACTGATTTCGAGACGCTGATCTTTTCCATGCAAGGCATAAAAGGCGCATTGAAGAAATTGCTCCTGCTGTGCGTTGTGGAATAAAGCTCTAGAGACATCTAGAGACCATCTCCAACAAAACCGCTCGTCTTTTGCAGTACACATGTCAAAGATTCGCAATCGATGCGTAACTGAGATATCTGCGTCCCAGTCAATTTCGTGTGCCATGTGCGTTGCCACGGGACATCTTCCCAGCCACATCCGCAGTCAATCTTCCATCCACATCCGCACCTGTCATCATGGGATCACTCTTCTCCCACGCAAGCTGTGGACTTTGGGAGATCACCAAGGGCTCAAGACCTGGTCGCCGGGTCGGCCCCTAATCACCAGTGATGGGACAGTTCCACAGAAGCGACCCATATCGCCTGATTAGGGTCATCTACGGGTTATATTAGAAGCCAATTGTGATTGGTAGATCATCCCAGCCGAATTTTGTAGGCTTAAGTTATATTATAATATAAATTATATTGTAATATAAATTATATTGTAATATAAGTTATATTATAATATAAGTTATATCATGATATTAATTAATATATCTTAATATTCATTAAAAACCTCACCACGAAATCTTCGGTCTCAGTAGAAATTCTGGCCATCCATTCTCCGTCCATTCTCCGGTGAAGTCCCGGCAAGATCCAAGCACCCCGACTTCCCCAGCTTCTTGGTTCATCCCTGATGTGAACTGGTTGGTGGTTTTTCGCCACCCCTCTGAAAAATCATGGAGTGAGTTCGTCAGTTGGGATGATCATTCCCAATATGATGGGAAAGTCGGAAAGTCATTCAAAATTCCATGGTTCCAGTCACCACCAACCAGTGGTTTGGTCTTTGGATGATGCCAAGGCATCCCCGGCGAGTCGTCGCACCTTCCAGGTGTACCTTGACCTTGACGCGAAAGCGCTGTGCGTAGTCCTTCAGGGACCGTCGCCACCATCCCTCACCCGGAACGACGCCGTCCAGCGGGAGGTCCTGGTCAACGTGACGTTGCTGGCACCGGGCTGTGGCAGTTATGGAAATGGAATGGTGATTCAATATGGTGATTTCATTGGATTTCATGATGATTTAATGGTGATTTAATGGTGATTTGATGGAATTTAATGGATATATATGATGGCTACACTCTGGTAATTGAAAATAGCCATGGAGAATCACTATGTTTCATAGGTAAATCATCGAACTAAATGTGCTATTTTCCATAGCTATATTAAACTACCAGAGCGTACCAAAAATGTAAAAATTGGATTGTGACTTTCAACATATTGAGGGGATTTGAGGGGTGGGGGATAAGAAACCACAAACTCGTAGATGACCATAGAAAGAGGCCTGCAGAATGGGATTGTTGTGATCAGCACAAAATAGCATGACCAACAAAGATGATTTGGGATGGCTACAGAGCCAATGCTGTTTTTATCAGCAACACAAAGATGGAGATCAAGGCAGCAATCATCGGGTCATGGTTGTGTGGTCATAACTGGGCTTGTCACCTCAATAAATGGGACGTAGCAACAAGGGCAGCAACGGGCCTAGACTCCTAGACCTCTGCGTTGAAATTGAAGCATTGGGTTACTATATATCCACACGACTTTCATGGCAACAAGGGTTCCCACCTAACAAGCGGTGCCCGACCCGGTAAAGTAGTCACAGCGAATTATGGAACTTATCTTTTGGCAATCAAACCTGTCAATGGAAACTCCCCTCTTCTTTTGGATGATTCACCTTCTCATCACCAGTTGGTAGAAAGTCTGGATGTCCTCAACAAGTGAGACAAAAAACAGACCAACGATACTGTCGAAACCATTGAGGTTCCTCAGATCTAAAAAGAAGCCGGCCAGATGGGCAGTTTATCCCACAGTCCCAGTGCTTCAGCAGGGAAAATCCCAGCAGGGAATCCCAAGTAGTGCTTCGGATGTCGCCACCACCCATCACCCCCCCCATCTCCAGCAGCGAGATTTCCTCGATCACCTCGACTATCCTGGGTTTATGGGCTTATGGTCAATGGCCATGCAACAGGAACCGATAGAAATTGGAGGTACCTACTGTTGATCCATGTCCTGTTCAGTGGGTGATCTCCCGGAAAAAAGTGTAAACTTTTTTAATTGGGTCCGCGTGCGCGCACCCACAAGCTTATTTTTGGATAGCGCGCGCGCGGGCAGACCCAAGGAAAACAAGTTTTAAGTTTAGGCATTGGCTGAGTAAGATTTTTTAAGGCCCATTTTTTAGGGCTATGTAAGGGAAAATCCCCACAATTAAATATATGGCCTAAAAAAATGGTACTAACGTACCTCCTTGTTTGGATCCTGAAATTCCAATTGATATGATGTTATAGTTTGTTTTTTGGGCCACCAACTTCAGATGATATTCTTGAACCATTCCTTTGCACCTGGGGCCCCTGGTTCTTTTAACCACCAAGATAGCTGCTACAGTGCGCGCATGTAAAGTATATAATGCGATTCAATGGGACTACAATGTTATATTTACACCATAATCATTTGGGTGCGTCTCAAAATGTGGTATACCCTGCAAATTACCATCTTTTAAGGGAAACTTCTGACTAACCAGTGGATGATTTAAGACCAGCCTATTTTCAGACAAAGCCATTTTTTGGATACCAGTGGATCGCTATCACTGGGGGGATGACTAACCAACACTGGGCACCACGGTGATGATCAGTCATCAGCCACTCAAACTTCAAAGAAAAAAAAGCAGCCGAACCTCAAAGCTGCATTCTTCCAGGTTCACCCTGTCGGAGTGGAACATCTAGAAATTTCAAGCCCTGTAGGTGATCTACATGTTGGTTGCTGCTTTAAATCCGTGCCTTCCTTGGCGGAATTTTGAAATTGGAGCGGAAATCCAGACTATCTGGTGCTACGAAATCTACGAATCACTTTTGATGGTCATTGTTGTACCATTTTGTACCCCATTTTCGATGGTGAAGTGTCCATCCGCTGGATACAGTCAACTGTACAATCCTCGGGGGTTTGATCCTGCTGATTTGGTGCAAGCATCTTCCCACGTTTTCCTTCCATCTTGCGTGGCTTCCATGGTTTTAATGGCTTGAACCAGAAATCTGCGGCTGGATGCGGCTGCATTCCGGGACAGATTTTGGTCCTTAGATGTCCTTGGTTCTTAGCATCAATTGATATCAACTGTCCCAAAAAATGGGGGCACAACTTGAGTCCTACTGCATCCCAGCTTGAGGAGCTCCACCATCATAGAAAAACCCCAAAAGGGGTCGTTTTTTCTGGTCACCTCGGCGCCATACCTTGCCTGTGCCTAGAGATGGAAGTGCCGTTTAGAGACGCCGCAACTTGGCAGATCTTTTCAGATCCTCGTTGTTTTTGATGCTGTAAAAAATAGGGATTCCCCCGTGCCATGCAGCATGCTTTCTTGGACATCTTGGGATTCCATCCTGGACCCCTACGGCTGGTAATCAAGTGACCCCGCCTTTGCCACACATGGAGCCATCACTCTGCGGAAGTTGCTGGGAAGTTGACAGAAGTTGATGCAGCATGGAACTTTGTGGTTTTTAGTACCTAGGTATCTGAGGTTGCTCCATTTGATATTGGGAAAAATGTCAAATAGAGGATTTTTATCTTAAAGCCATTGCCAAGGTCATGTCTGACAATGCACTGGCCCGGTCCCAGTCAATAATGGGTTCCCTTCGCAAGACAGTCTCGTGCCAAATTGGTGGTGACCAAATTCTGTTAGTCTGTGGACCTGTCAAGATCATTGTTGTTTTCCATTCGCGTGGAGTGTCTAATTGATTTCGGCCAGAATTCATGTGACGCTTCGATGCTCTCAACATCTCTCAACTGTGATGGTGACACGAAGCCGCGAAGCTGGAGCAAAAAGGCGACAGAGTTCTTGCTTCGTGCCGGTGGACAAACAGAAATGCACCAGTGACATCCAGTGACTGGGTCCGCGAGGAGGAATCCCACGCACCTTGGTCTATGGTGAGTCGCTTCAACCAGAAACTTTTGGACCATGAGCTCCGGATTGCCAACTGGATGGTCAATGGTAGAACCCTGGGAATGCTGGCGGGGTCCATCTGCACCCTTCGAATGCACCTGGTCTTTTCCCACACGAAGTAAACGCTCAGTTTGAACGAACCAAGCGAAAAAATTGCATGTCTGAAAAGTGGAAATCCCAAGGGTTTCCCACGTTTATTCATTCATGAAGCTTTTCCCCATCTGCAGTAGTCAGGTTTCGGGGAGGGGATCCCAAGTGTTCAGACAGACGCAAATGCCTGGGCCATGTTGCACCTTTAGTGCTTCAAAGCCAACTATGCGTATTAGGCTGGCTTCAGTGATGCGGATCTTGCGTCACAGGTAGATGATGTCACTCCCAACCGAAAACCACTAAGCCCTCACCATCCCCCAAGACTGAAAATAGGGTACCCCATTCATCACTTTGCCTCTTAAAAGATCTTGAAAGTGCCATATTTGAGGGGTATACCGCCGCTTTTTTCAACCCAGAAACTCTCAGAAATCCACCAACGAATAGAAACCCACCCGAAAATGTGGACCAACAGCGTCACCGAAAGCCACGCGCATCCAAGGCAGCCCCAGTTGTAGACATGGGACGGGCCAAAGGACCTGCGACCCAGGAATGCAGGATGCAACCACGGCAACCACCAATTTTCCAGATGTTTTGGGGGTTCTATGAACACATCAGGATATTTTGGGGTTGCAACCAGGATTCTTCGGATATTTTGAGGATTCACAATGGAACCCAACAATGCAGTATAGGAGAAACTATGACTATGAAATTCAACAATCCATGACCATCCCAAATTGCGAAACTTGATGGTTTCTTTCTGGTATTCAAAGGCAACTGACATACAGACATGAGTGGAAAATCACCACAAATCAGCCACATGTCCCCATGAATCACCCAAATACAGGTATATCCGATTTTGGTGTTATACTCACTGTTGTTGCTGAGATCTAACTGTTTGCTGATTCCTTAACATTGGATATTAACTGTTTAACCGATAAACAAATAAATATTGAATCCGAATGATTCTTTTCAAGAATTTTGATTGGTTCCAAACAACTCCCTCATCGCCCTCTATAGTAATTTAACAATAGCTATACAAAATCCCCATGTTTCACATGTACCCTCTGGTAATTTAACGTAGCTATTGAAAATCACCATTAATAGTGGATTTTCCCATTAAAAATGGTGATTTTCCATAGTTACGTTAAATTACCAGAGGGTAAATCAGCTCGAAAAAACGGTCCATGGATTCCATTGGACCGGCGGCGCCTCGCCCCAGATCCAGCTCCAACGGCTCCAGCTGCCCCGGCCGCAGCGGTACCGCTTTGGGCCGTGGCGGTGCGGATGGTGCTCCGGCTGGGGCTGGCGGGTTGAAGAGGCTCCTGGACCAACTCTGGGACTACGTCTAGATCCTGTTTCACAGTTTCACATCCGTGATCATGGTGCTGGTATAATATAAATAAAAGCCAAAGTAGGTTGTCTAAAGTCGGAAATGTGTTTGAAGGATCTAGACTAAACTTAGGATGTGTGTTTGAAGAATTTCGGCATATATTGCCATGTTTGACGCACAAAAGCAACCAACAAGGAAGTTTCATTGAAAAATATATGGTGGGCATCTGTGGAGTTTCCCATAGCTCATCGACCGGAGCTGACGATCTCCAAACACGTTGCACAAGTGCCGATACATGGCGAATGTTATGGATGTGTGTCTGAAAATTGGGTACCCTCCATCCACTGATTCATCATCATATTCATATTACAAGTAATTATCAAAATGCAATTTGATGGGTATATTAACCACAGTTTCAGACATTCCCATACACTTCTGGTCGGCGATAGTTCCCATGATATCAACATTTAATCCCCATTGGATCTTGGCGAACTATTTTTTGGGGGGAACTATTGTAAAAGACCTCTAGACTCTATGTGGTCTAATTCCTTGTGATACTGTGGATGGTTGCGAAATCCTGCACCACCTTGGATGGTTGAAACCCTATAAATAATGGGATAAACCACCTATCATCTGCCAGGTCTGCCAGGTTGGCTGCGTGGCTCCTGTAATGTGCCAGGTCGCTTTCCAACTGTTCCACGCCAGAGAAATAGCGTTGACCTCAGAGAACTTGGCCCTGGAACCACTGGCCCTCACTGGCCCTATCATATGGTTATGGATCAATACCTATACATACCATTTTTAGGGGGATGAACATCCATTTACCAGCTATTTTGATGTTCACCAGGGGTGCAAGGTTTTGACCCATCTCCATATGTTCATATGTTCCACAGTTCAATGCTCAAATTCATCGACAATTGTATTGATACGTTTGAAAAAATAATGAAACGGGAAATCCAGAAGAAAAAAACGTGATTGAAAATGAGGAAGATGATCTTCGATACGAAACTTCCATGGTTGTTTTCAGGGTAGGGTAAGTTGCTGAATCCCGGAATCGAAAAGTACAAGACATGGGGTCAAGATACCAAACGCAACCAATTTTGTGGGTCCAATCAAGTACCAAACTGACTTGACCCAATTCCCATTTCCCATCATTTCCCTGTTTTTACTGGTTGAAGTCATCAAATCACCATTTTAATCCCCAGTGTTGATGGGTAAATCTCATGAAATCCACAAAAAATGGTTGCTGTGGGAAACCCCTTCCGCTCCCCATCCCCAACGCCCAGCGACATTCAGCTGGCTCAGGCAAGGCCTGCAGAGTGTGTCGTAAAACCTCCAGAGAGTGCAGCACCTCAGTTCTGGAACACGGGTGCTGAGCCCTTGGGGGATACTTTGGATGTTTAATCTCGAGCTTTCTGGGAGAACGCCCCAAAAAAAAAATACCTGGTTGAGGTTGTCGGACTTAGGTGTTTTCCCAAAATTGTGGAGGGAGTTTGGCCTCCAAGGCGCCCGATGGAGGCTTCCCACCTCCCTGGGTAACATCTTGGGCACAACGCTCCGGAAGTTCGAAACCGCCTGGGTAGGCAGCGGAAGTTTCAACCAGGTAGGCCTGATTTGTCGGTGGATTTCACCAACATGGGGATAAAATGGTGATATACCGGGGTTATAATAGTTATGATAGGATGTATCGCCAACTTAAAAGGATTTGAGGGTGTCTTCAAATGGGGTATACGCTCCACATAGCCATTTGAATAGAGAAAATGTTTGATGAACCAGTGGACCTACCCTCTGGTTATTTAACATAGCCATGGAAAATCCCTTATAAATGGAGGTTTTAATGGGGAAATCATCTATAAATGGGCCATTTTCCATGGCTATGTTAAATAACCAGTGGACTTAGTTGGGGGATGTTGAGGGCGCCCTATGTTCAGACAAACACCAAACACAGGTTGGGTGTGGACAAGAATACTTGGTTTTGAGGATCAACTTCAGAAACAATGCTTGACCCCTTACAATCGCGGTGTTAAGTCGTTGATCAGTTTCCCTTCACAGCAGCTGTCAATGGGAGTTTCCATTGACTCAAACTCCTTGAATTTCTTGGAAACACCTCCATTCTTCGCGACTTCAACCCTCAACTGTGTGGTCAAATCTGGTAAAGTTTTACAGTTTGCTAGTTTGCTGCTTGAATCCTAAATCTTTTTTTCCTTACTGTCCAGATCTGTCCAGTCACCTCTCCAAGCTTAGATCCCTTGAATCCAAGATGCTTCATCGAAGCGCTCATTGGCTCGCTGGATGCCAACCAAGTCGCAGCTCAGCTGCAAACTTCGCCCCAAGTCCCTGTCAGTCGCTGCGGCTGGCCCTGGGGGCTCCTGGACGTCGCAAAATGTTGGTGAACATCACTCAGGTATAGGGGAATTGTCACTCTAGTTAATTGGGGTGTATAAAAACCGACCTGCTCAGTCGGGGGCCCCGCCTTGATGTGTATATTATGTGTATGTATATATATATATATATGTGTGTATGTATGTGTGTATAACCAAGTACTAAGCAACCATTTCGCCCCCCAATATACATTTCGGGTTTGTCGAAGGAACAAGTCATTAGCAAATCTTGACATGGCATTGGAGATTGTGCATCTTTTTCAGAAACCACCGCGTTTCACACTGCGGTGCAACTGTAAAAGGGTGACTCTGCTCAGCAAGTGGCGACCTGCAAGGGCGATGGGATGCGGTGGGTCACCTAATTACAGGATGTTGGCTGGCAATGAAGAACCCCTGCCTGAACTAGTAAACCAAGTAAACAAAATGCTGTCTGAATATGTGTGAATTATCAACAGGATGTGCGTGCAAACTCCAAATTGGTCTTGAGACCTGACATCCCGAGACATTTCTGCGCCGACATCCTAAGACATTTCTGCCCTGGTGAGATGTCTGGCCCGAGACTTGCATGTGGCCCCCAGGCCAAGTGCACTCGCTTTGCTACTTGATCCACAAGACTTCGGGGAAGCGCAAAAGGATCCACTCTAATATTAGTTTGGTGATAAATGGCTAAGATTAGGCTGTTGAGACGCTTGGAAAATGTATATTCAGCTGTAGTAGTACAGGGGGGTCAATATACATTATTAGAACTACTGTATATATATATGTATATATATATATACATATATATATATATGTACATATATATATATATATATACATATATAGAATATAGACTGTATGATCATATATGGATGTTAGTAGCTTGAAACCCCCTTTGAAACCCAGAAGATACTCGTATGTTATTTTACCATGTGTTTCCCTTCTAGGAGACACATAGCAGAGGCAGATCCCAATCAACTTTGGCATTTCCAGGTTGGACTACCGGAGGCATCATCCCATTCTGAAAGGGCATCACCATCAATGGTTTTGGGATATCCCACTCTGAATAGGATTGGAATCTCCGAAATGAATTGTTTCTCTCTATATGTTCGATGATTCAATAGGTAAGCTGTATTGTTGGTGTATCTCCCAACCCCCCGAAAAAAGTCAGATCCAGAATTATAGAGGATTACCCAAATCATTCTGAATGATTATATCCCGATATGGCTGAATCCTCCCTTTATAGATTGCCAGACAAAACCTCCAAGCACAACCCAAAGAAATCAGCGATCAATCAGGGGCAACTGGTCATTGCTCATTTCCACCAAGTCAGATCCTTCCTACCTTGATGGCTCCCCATTCATAGATCGCCCATCGCCCATTCTGAAGGATGAAAAATCATGTCATGTTAGATACTGATACTGTTGTTCTCCATGAGTTTTCTAACCAAATTGTGTAATGGGAATCTAAAGAATGATTAAATGCCATTCAGCATGATTAAAAATCATCAAGCAAATGTGTTCAAGTCACGTCATTCATCCAAATGTGTTTTTCCTGATTCCCGATTTGCAAATTGCAAAAAAAAAAACAGATTCTGAAATTTTATCATTTTTTTCAGTGAAAAGGGTTTTATTCTGATTCCCCATTTATAGATTGCCCAAACCAATGATGAAAAATCATTCGGAAAAAAGAAACACTGATATTCTCCATCAGTGTTCTCCTTCATCACTAATAATCAACATCATTGAAAATCATCAAACAAATCCCAACCGTCTTTCATGTCTCACGGGACATGATTAAAGATCATCAAAAAATAAAACATTTATGTTTCCCAGATTTGCATTGAAAATCATCAAAAAAATGCAATAGTTTTCCAGATTTGGATCGAACATCCTCAAAAGTCCAATCCTTTGTTTCCAGATGTGTTTCTATGTCAATTGACTGGAAGGTAATATCCCAATCATCATCCAAAGTGTGTCATCAAAATCGTCAAACATCATCCAAAATCATCCCCCATTCCGAATGAGACCGAAAATCCATGAAAATCCCACATGGTGATAGTTCACAAACTAGAATGGTCATATAGTAGGATTCCATAAATCCCATGCATCTGTTCCGTTTTTTCCCCAAAAAAAGAAAAATGTGTGTTTCCTAAAATGGGGAAGTACCCCTAAATCATCCATTTCAATAGGATTTCCCATGAAACAAACCATCCATCTGCTGGGGTACCTCGATTTATGGGACCCTCCATATATGTCTATCATAGAATATATATATATACCATGGGTTTCAATACTAAATATCGTCAATTTTTGATGATTTGGGGTACTCCCATTTTGGGAAACCTCCATTTGGTGATAGTTAATTGTAGTTAATTAACAAACTATAGAATGGTCATAGGATTCCATAAATCATCATAAATCCCAGATATTCCATATATATATATATATATATTCCACAAATTCCATAAATCACATCCATTTCCCCAGAAAAATTCTGAGTGTTTCCTCCTTCATCTGCTCCAAGGTCTTCTCCGCCTCTTCCGCAATGCCTTGGAACTCCTCCTCCGCGCTGCGCGGGTCCAGCCGCGCCACAAATGCACCCAGGCGCCGAAGCACCTGGCGAAGGCTCCAATGGAATTACCGAACAAACACGAGGGGAAAGTGATGGAAAACTGATGAAAAAGTGGTGTAAAATGTGGAAAATCGATGGAAAAGTGATGAAAAGCCAAGAAATGATCGTGATTTGACAAGCGAACGATTGCCACTGAACGAATGGTGTGTACAAATACTGTATCCTGCAGGATCTAAATCCGAGAAATTTCTATGTAGATGTTTCCTTTAGGAATTTCATTGCATGTCCCAGCAAGATCCAGCAAGTCCAACGGATTGGCCCACATTTTGCATTTGAAAGCAACATTGCTGCAGAAAGTAAGAATTGGACAGGGAACATTCCTACTTTCAATGATGTCACTCTACGACTTTTCCGGATTTGCGGTTTTTGATGTTTTTTGCGGTGACACTTTTTGGCGGGTTTTTGCGAGTAAAGTTGGTAGTTTTGGGCTGCGATAGTTTTGGCAATGTTGGCCGCGCAAAAAAAACCGCAGCAAAAGCGACCTGCCACAGACTATCTGCCAAACCCGCGGAGGCCACAGCGGATTTCGAGTAGTTTTGGTGGAGGATTTTGGTCAAATTTCTCCTCGTTTCGCAGGAAAAACAGCCAACTCCTAAGCTCACGACGAATCTCCAGGATTTGGAAGGTCCAGGAATAATATTATATATATATACATATACATACAGATAACCCAACAAAAAGGGACTCAAATCTACTTGGGCTACTTGGGCTTGGACCAAAATTTCAGACCCTGCAAAGATTGCAGCAAGTCAAATCCCGGGCCATGGTTTCACCCAACATCTTATGGTCACCACTCAAACCGGGTAACCCGCAGGGATATTATCCTCCTAAAACGAATCCTTTCTTCTTGGGCAACGGTAACAGTTTGCACGTCGACCCTGATGCTTGTTGTTGATGTTTTTTGGGTGTGCTTCATGATATTCACAAGAAACCACTTACTGTCAATTCCCCAAAAAGAATCGCCATTCACATCCATTGACCTTCAATATAGCTCTAATTAAAGTAGACTCTAATTGAGTTTATTGATCTACGACTATATCCCAGTTGGGAAGTGGGAAAGAATCATTATGAGAACCCAGTTCTGATAGTTATACGGATATATTGAGTATCCCCAGCTGTATACAGTTGATATATGGCTGTTCCTCAAACTTGGGCCAAACCAAAAACATCAAAAAATCATGGGTTTCCCCATCAAAAGTGACCAAAACCTTGGATTTGGGGCTACCATATCTCTTCAAAGATATTGGGTGGTTTCCATGGTGGTACCCCAATAGCTGGATGGTTTATTTCATGGGAAATCCATGGAAAAAAATAAGAAAAATGGATGACTGGGGGTACCCCCGGTACCCCTATGGAAACCTCGACCCAATGGCACCTCCAAGGCACTCTGCCTTCGTTGGTACTCCGCCTTCATGGCCGCCTGTCGCAACGCAGCCAGCATGTCACTGGCGCGCTGCGCGGCAGGCGTCCAGGGCGCGCTGCGCGGCAGGCGTCCAGGGCAGGGCGGAGACATTGGACAGTGACGCAATCAGCTGGAAATGCTTCGTGAGGTCCTGGGCTAATGGGCTACCCTCTGGTAATTTCTTACAGTTTGCATTGAAAATGGCCCATTTAGCTCGCTGATTTACTAAAGATGATGATTTTCCAGTTCGCAAACTGTTAGTTTACCATAGGCTTCGTATATAGGGGTTGTCTTCCCATGAAAAATTGGAGATTTTGACCAGGGATTGATTTTGAGGAACGACATGGATTTCAGCAATAAATCGGTGGACGGAAGGGATTGATCTAAGGATATCTTTCTGGACCAAATAGCTGAAATTGAAGCATAATTTTACTGGAAACTGACGGGTTTTCACCAAATGCAAGGGATCCATATTAGGATTCTGTGAATCTTCCCGCAACCTGGGAATTCGACCAACTTTTCTGCATCTTGCTTGGGGAAAAACCTTGGGGATGGGTCATGAGAATCCTCCAAAGGGAAGGGAAAAAGATGTGTAAAAATGATCAAGAACATCATCTTATCAATAATGATCAACTGAGAAAGCACTTGACTTCAACAGGAATCAACCGCTATGTAATGGTTACCCTCATGTTGTTCAAATTAGATGCGGAAATTAGCCAGCATTTGTAGATGATGTTCCCACATGTTCTGGCTTTTCAACATAATTTTCCAGGTTTACCCTAGGGTTTTTGTTGGGGGGTGAATCTGGTTTGAAGCCATGCCCGGTCCATGCCCTGTCCTTGGCTAAGCTTTGTAGCCCAAGCAGGAAAGCCTCAACCTTCTCAACACTCCAATTTCCACATGGCGATATCGCTATCGCGGCGCAGCCATAGAGCTGGTATGGGGCACCTGAAAACTCGCTAAAAAGCTCGCTGCGAAACGACGATGGAAACGACGTGGGAAAGGTTGTTTTGGAAAGAGATCTTTAAGGAGCAGTGATGTGCCGAATTGTTTTCGGATAAAAAATGGGTGGAATTTATATGAATTTCTTGCGCTTGCGCGCGGAGTTTCTGTTTTGATCAATCCAGAGGGGATAAAAAGAAACATTGGCATGTGATCATTGACCTGTCGCCCGTTTCAGATCAGAAAATCGTTTGACCAAAAGTAAATATGGAACTCATGCCATATCCAAAATCGGAGAGCCATCAAGGCACGTCCTGGACTGCAGTTTCCATGTTGAAATCATTTTTCATACCATGGTTCTATGCTAATTCCGCGTGTTTTGTTTGCGAAACACCCATTTTCTCAGGGAAAAACAATGATTTCTGGTTGTATAATATACCCACCATTGTATTTATGCATATATATATATATATATCATTATATATATATACATGTATGGTACGTACACACATGTATGATACATACATATATTATACAGTACATGCCATGCCATGCCATGCCATGCCATATTATAACATTACATTACATTGCATTGCATTACATTGCATTGCATTACATTGCATTCCATTGCATTACACTGCATTACATTGCATTGCATTACATTACATAGCATAACATGACATAACATAACAGATCATACCATAACACGACATAACATAACAAAACATGACATGACATGACATGGCATGACTTGACATGACATACATAACATACATAACAGAACAGAACAGAACATAGCATAACATAACATAACATAACACAACATAACACACATGCCGCATATTATATGTCAAAGATTATATATATATATACACATACATACAGACCCAGTCATTCTCGCGCTTGGAATGCTGGTGTGGCGTCCCACACCTGGGCGTTGGCAGCATCCGACTTTGGCCTCGCCCTGAAAGCCTGCGGCGCAAGCAGCGCTGACATCGAAGTCATTGTAGACCAAGGAGCCCTGGAAGGGGCCAGATTTACCCATGGGATTTCAAGGGATATATGATGGGATCTGTATGTATATATATATTATATAATATATATATATATATCATAATATATATCATAATATATATCATAATATATATCATAATATATACAAATATACTATATATATATATACATTATAATTGTACACGAAATGATGATTAGCCTCCGGCAATTTAAGAGTGTGCCATGCCATGGAGATGGTCCATTGAGTTGACGGGAAATGGGCCTCATAAACCATCCCCGCTGAGGAAATGGGGTTTAAAACTTGGGTTTCCATGTAAAAAACATGTAAAAACATGTAAAAAAACATCCGAAAAAAAAAACATATCTAATCTATGTGTTTCAAACAGAATTCCGGGGCTGGTGCCCCCGACCTCTGTGATGACATAGCCCTCAAGGTCTTCTGCCGGACTGCAGCGGGTGTCCACGCACCCCCGCAGCTGGTAGCCCTGCAGACAATGGAGGCAATGTACCCATATTGGTCCTATATTGGTCCTTTGAACATTATGAATATTGGAATTGTACCCATATTGGACCAATATAGGACCAATTATGAACCATCCACTGTTTTGAAGGGTGCCCAATTTGGACCCACACGACATCCCCAAAGCCACCACCACAACCATTGCCACGTCGACGTCGCATCGCCACACCTGCAGATGAGCCTTGCAGGGTAGGACCTCCGCTTCTCCAGTGTAGGATGGTTCCGAGCATTTGGCCAAAACACTGAAATTCCCCAAATGCAGGGAGATTTCGGTGAAGACATATCCTCGGCTGCATCTGCATGGCGGAGAACCGCGCAAAAGTGTCTCCATACCGGAAAAGTGTGGTAAATTGATGTACAGCAAATTGAAATTCTTGGGGTCACTCCCCGCACCCGCACAGTCCTTAACAGGGTCTATAGGATGTCAACTGCTGTTTTTGTCCCTTTTGGTCTTCACAACATCCTCAAAGATGACACAGGCTTCAAATTGTCACCCAGTTGCCGGTCACATTTCGAGCTGGCAAACAGCTGCCATCTGTCGTCTCAAGCGTCACATCCAGCTCAGCTTCGTCCCGCACATCTGGATGTCCTGGGTGAGTCAAACTAAACTTCCCCTAGTGCTCGGGTGGCTAGGTCGTCAACTGAACACCAAACAAATGGAGTAGGTTCAGTAGGTTCAAGGGAAAAATTAGAGTCAAACCCTCTAAAACCTATCCATTGACTGTCCGCTCTAGCATTTCTGCATGGTATGAAGGGTACTTTGCACCAAGTCTCTCTCCCCAGCATCTTTCTCCTGTGGAAAGGAGATGGCATGGATTCTCGTATGGTGATGTGAACAGGAATGCAGCAATCGAAATTGGGGTGTTTACTTATGTTTTATATCTATATTGCACATGGGTACCGGTATACAACAAACAAGAATTGATGTGCGCTGTGAAGGTAGGATTTGGTGATATACTGTCTCCTGGCATCTGTTTGCAAGTAGACATCCCTGCTCGGAGGATTTTGAGTTCGTAACTGCTTAGTAACCCCAGTCAACAAGTCCACTAAGTGGAGTTTATCCCATTCATAACTGGGTTGCAACCCCACTTCCATTCACCAGTGACGATCTAACATCATCTAAGCCACCAAAAGACATGCAGCTATCGCATGTCGCACTTTCCCACTTTCACGTTCCTGGGACTGTCCCTTTTTAGTGGATCCATCACACTTAGTGACAACCACCACTTCCACCAGCCCGCCTTCGGTGCCTCCTCCTCCTCCTCCTGAAGCTCCTCCTCAGCATCCTGGATGCACAGAATCGGGGACCAGTGGGATGGCACCCCGTGCTGTTGATCCAATCCGATCCAAACCAGTCCTTTTTTCTACACTGTAGACGTCTTCCGGTAAATTGCTTGGTAGCTTACAACGTGCGGCCATTGTCACAAAGAATGAAACTACATGTGTACGTACTATGTACCCTAAAAAATCCATTGATGTTTCAGGGTTTACCTCGCCACCCAACGACTCATTTTGAGATCCCTGGCAGCTTTGTGTGAACACTTGAGATTTAAATGGCAGATGTGCTGGTCATTCTGCTTTTGAACCATCAACTGAGGTCATATCTCAAATTGAAGATGTGCATTTACTATCCCATTTTGGTGTATCAAGAATTTTCACCAATCCCCCAGACTGTTGCTGTAGCCAAGGGCTCACATTGTGGTGGGTTTTTTCTGAAAATTACCACAAAACAGGATTTCTCATCATAGAAAAAGTATGAAAAAGTGATATTGTCGTGACACGAGAGAATTGATAGGTTGAGGCTATCATTGCCGTGTTGAGGTGATCATGTTTAAGCCGATCACGAAAATCCCATGATATCCACGAAATCCCAGGTGGGATCCCGTTTTTCCGGCTCCCCAGACCTCCTCAAGCTCCTCATCCTCTTCCTCCTCTCTCCTTCCAGACTTTGCGACTTGGAAATCTATGGATTGAATCCAGCCCCGACCCAGGCTTGATGGATACTGATGGCTATTGATAACGCCCGTGAATTGATAAAGCCTGATTTATTGTGGGAGGACTTTTGGGGGACCCTTAGATTTCGGCCGGTGCAGTTCAGAAGAAATCAGATATTCCATGCAAGTCCGGGAGGATTCCATGGCTGATTGCCATGTTCAAAAAAATCTCACAACATTTAGAACCAAAATCATATGGTTTATCACCTTGCCCGTGAACATTGCCATAAATTGGAGGGGTCCCATTTCTTTGACAAAACTTTATCTCATACAACATCCTTGTTCAGTGGTGATCTTATGTAATTAATGATTACCCTCCAGTAAACTAAACATCAAAATGATGGAGAACATGAGCTAGTTAGTTCACTGAATTAGATATGAACCATGGTGATGTTCCATAGTTTTTGTCTATGTTTACCAGAGGATACCAACCCCATCTTTGATGGCATCGGCGCAAGCGCCCCACTCCTGTCTTCCTCAAGATCCTGAAAAGCCATAGGGCAGTTGAGGTTAGAAATGGTTGGGATATAACCACCATAACTTATAACTACTTGTAACCGGAATATAGTGGTGAGTTAACTATAATAATGGTGAGTTAACTATAGTGGTGAGTTAACTCCCATAAGTATTTTTCCATAACTGGAACTGCAATTCTAGATCTTCTAGGCACTTGACTATCACAAAAAATCCAACCAAGAACCATAGGGATTTCATGGGATTGAATGGGGATATATGATTTGGGTCTGTCAAAAGATGGGGAATACGCCAAAAATATCCAAAAATGCATCGCAAAAAGAAGAATGATGTGCTCTATTTTTTCAGAGTGTGTTTTACAGTAAATTGGTGCTTTCCTGGAAAAAAAAGTGCAAATATTGCCTTTATCCACTGGGAGGACAAGCTGGGATCGTGCTCTTCTGGTTTGGGATCGTAATCTACCTAAGTCATGATAAATCATGGTAAATCCACCCCAAAGATTCCCAAAGTAGTTAACAGGTTACGTTGTATGCTCATGGGGCTATAGCATGATATAACCAAATATTCATCGTATAACTGAATAGTTCATGATAAATGACGCTTGTTTAAAGTCTCTGATACCCGGGAGACGAAGATCCATTAATGCCAGCTATTTTGGGAGCTGCACACAGGTACAAATACTAGTGGTTTGACCAATTTGGACCAACTGGACCAATTTGGTCCAGTTTGTAAGTAGTGACTCCCCAAATATCCCCAAACCAGACGTGTTTTGTTTTGCGGGTGATTCCGTGATTCCTGTGTACTAAGCATCATTCAAGGTAAAATGTCGGGCCTTATCATCCCCAATGTCAACCCCAGATTAATCCAGCATGACTCATCAATTAGGTTGGTGTTTTCCGTCATCAGAAAGTGCTTTCATCTGCGAAATGGACTAGCCTGCAGGACTTTTTTGATCAGACGTACTGGGGTGTCCCCTACATATCTAAGAAACACACCTAAGAGACGTGCAAAAAAACAACAAGAAACAATCATACAAGTTCTGGCCACTGCACAAAACCAGCAAATATATGATATATGCAAATAAGGAAATCACAAAAATGTCTGATGGGGGTCATTACCAGTATCGACCAAAAGGAAGTCAGATACAGTACCACCACGATTGGGTAATCTAGCCAAGAAATGACGGGGTTGTACCTAAGCTACAATAAAAGCAAGAGTCAAGGCCGCTCTACAACCACTACGAAAGCAAATCTGGTACCCACAGCTTGCACATTCCTGCTTCCAGAAAGTTGATTATCTCATCATCAAACTCATCCAAAATCAGCAACACCATTGGCCCCTGCTCCAGTTTTGGTCGATGCTGTAGACTCTAGATAGATATGTATTTCAATGTCAAATGTCTGCTTCCCAACTTCCATTTTGATCCATTTTGGCCCATTCCCAAAGTCTTTGGCAGGATCCCAACCATTCAAACCCTCCAGAGCTCGCTTCCCCCCCAAAAAAAACGGTGCCATTCAGACGCCTGCGGAACTTCCAATAAAGAGAAACCGTCCACCTCGTCTAAGGCATTGCTTTCACCTCAGGGATGGTCTGTCGGTTTCCGAAACCTCCATGTCGGCTTGGCGATCCATCGAAACAGCCAGGGTAGTATCAACCTCGATCTGCATCATCCAAACGTTCACCGACCATTCAGTCCCCCAGCAACCCGCCATCATCACCGGATCTTGAGGCAGGAGACAGCGCAAAGCACTCAGCAAGGATTGTCCTTGGCCTGGAGGGCAGCCGCTGAGCTGCTGAAGATCAGGTGATGGTCCAAACCCTGGGGTCCCCCGCAAAATCCAGCTATAGCTCAAAGTTGCACAATCCGGGAGAACTCGAAAAAGCATAAGATACTTCTAATTAGTGGTTAATTAATCAATCCCACAACGGATCCCCTCTGATGCAAAAGTGCCCAGGTGTTACTTCCATCAACCCCGGCCCCCAGCGGTGCAGTCCATTTTGGCCGTTCTGGACACAGCAGAAGTCGTTCCGCGCTCATGCTGCCCAGAAAGGAACTGCGGGGAAGCTCCCTAGTGATGGTGAGCAAAACAGGGCTGTCTCCATCGTTAGTAAGGCGGGTAACGACCAAACAAGACCCCTAATCATGGTAGCGTGGCGTGTATATTTAATTGGTGCACTTGATTATGGTTCAAATGTTCAAGAGGGTGTTGGGAAAAGGAAATAAGTCGTGATTCCAGTCTGAAATATTGATTGACTAGGAAATTATCCGTCCTGTATCGTCCTGTGTTCAAATTACAACTGCTTTATGTTCAAAAGCTACTTGACTGTGACTTTTGTATACTTGTAGTCGTGTTTAATCATGGGAATCAAAATCAAGAATTGGATTGAAGTCATCGAAAATTGTGGGAACATGACTGATTTTATATCATATAATTTCTGCCAATACCAATAGCAAGGAGTCCCACAGTTCTCAGATAGCGCCAAAACCGGCTGCCACAGGTCGCGTCAAAATGGCCTTTAGTCACGATCCTGGCCCTAGATCTTCAATTGAAATAGGGGATTTAACCATCAACCATGGGGGTTTAATGGGATTTAATGGGGATATGTTATGGGATATAGTTCACAAATGTTCACAAACTGAATATGATTTGGCTCTTTCTATGGCCATTTTTGTTGGGCGATTTATGATGGTGTAAACACGATGGGGATTTGGGGGTAATCAAAGGGCAAAGGCTGAAGTTAATCCAGAACCTATTTCAAGGCGTTCCGGATGACCGTCAGAATCATAGTGACTACTGTAAAGTGAGTAAGAGTTTTTCTTGCCTGCATATGCATAAATCCGCTGTATTAATATGTTGTACATGCCTATTTATTTAGCCCGCGCTGATTACCCATGAGAACCTATGGCTTGAAATCTGGCACCTAGTTTTCCACACATGGCAACCATCAGTCTGCTGGACTTCTCGAACTTATCACAGTTTGTTCCCATGGCAACGCAGGAATGGCGATCATCCTGGCTCAGTCCATATCAGACTCTTCATCTGCCATGCCGCGGATGTAAAGTACCTCCGGCTGGCTTGCGATACGCAGCCGGAGGCAGCATCAAGTCTGCGGTGGGGATGGAAAATGGCAATTTACATTCATTTACATGCATGTAAACCTCCAAGCCTTGATAGCCTGTTGATGTTGCTGGTATCATTTGTATCTGCAATAGTCAACCAGTCAACTGTACACGGACACCCTTCCATCCGGAGGTCAAACAGAATTGTTTTCGCAGCTTTTAAACAAAGGTATTTATGCCTCAACTGCACCCTGAACCTTGGATGAGATCATGTTGCTATTCCCTTCCATGGTCCAAGGTGCCAAGGGTTGCCTTACAGCCCATCTACCTTTCTTGAGTTGGCTTTATCATCCCAAATATGAGATCATATCATACACGACCAAAATGTTTGGGATGATCCATCTTAGACACTCAGGCCGCGCGCGTTGTTGCATCGGATAAAGACTTCACCCAAATTGCCACGGAAGCTACCGTCCACCTGATACCAGATGCCAAAATCTCATGGCTAAATCATCTACTTGTTCCCAGTAAAACTGCCAGGGGCAGACGATTTCTTGGAATAAGCCACTTGTTGCTGAAAAATCACTGAAGTTGGTGAAACAGGTACCAGAAATTGGATCCAGCAATCAATCTGTACAACTATCATAACTATAAACAATGTCAGTTTAAAGAATCACCAAAAGGTCATCATAAATTTGTCCGAAAAATTGGTCTTCGAACATCTCCAGAAATGGTCACTTGAAGATCAAGAAACCATTCTCAATGGAATGACACAACTTGAGCAATCTTGAGCAAACACCTCTCACAACAATGTTTGTACAAGAAACCACTTGAAGATGCACATGTATGCAAATGTGTCTTTCTCTGAAAATCGGGTGCCAAAAAAATACCTATATTCCCATATTAAATTAGATTATATTACATTAAATCATATGAATAACCACACATTTCCCTACTGTTAATTGGCTTAAAAACCATATTACTTCCTCATGGCGAAGTTGAGCTCCGAACCCATTCCTCGGTGTTCAGCCTCAATTTTCCGGGCAATGGGAGACCTGCACCTCTTTCGCTTTCCATTTGGGGATTTCAACCATCCCTGGCTCCAAAAATAAATCCCCGAAAATCCATGGAAGTTGACAAAAAATGTTGCGGCCATGCGGGATTTCCCCACTATTTTTTGATACTGTGGTGCAGGAGGAAATCCTGGCACTAGCTGGTATTTATTGGCAACTATGAAACACTGTAAATAATGGGATTGTATGGGATTGTAATGGGACAAACCATCTACCACATCTACCAGCCTGGTGCAGGATTTCGCAACCATCCACCGTTCCAAAATCTTCAATAGTATTGGCCCTTTTACAACAATGTGTGCCCCTTTACCAAGATCAACTCCGTTAAACCCACTGGGGATAGCAAAAGCCTGGTTCACGTTAAGCCTGAGTGGCAATTGCAAGTTCATGTACTGGTCGATTGACCTGCGTGGCGGTCAATCAAAACGAAGTGAACTGCATTAGTGTCTCCATGTTGCAAAAATAAAAAGCAAATGATAGCAATAGTGAAACGTCCTCATCTAATCTCATCTACTTGAAGACTATCGAAAGGTCGCAACATCAAAGGGTGGCTCCAATCAAACTGCCGTTCGGTCTTTTACCCTCAGCCGTGGTGTCCACGTTGCTGCGCTGACCCGTGTTTCACGGGCTGACCACTGGATTGCCCTGGCGTTTCACCATCGGAAAGGGGGAGGCGTGGTAGATATTCTGTAAATATGTCATGGAAGATGTGAAGGTAGGATCATATGGTGGATGCTATCTAAATGTAGGGACGCAAATGCATTGCAGCTATCTCTGAAAGCTGATGTGAAATATGTGTAGAGATCGCTATGACTCCTCATCTGCGGTTCAAACTTCAGACCCCAAAAAGATCTAAAAAGATCACCTGCGACCATGTTTTGGAAACGGTCCCCCTTCCATTTCTGCTACCTCTCCAGAAACCAACACCCAGCACCCCGTGTCAAAAGGGCCCCAGGACGTGGGAATCCTGGGCCTGCAGCACGAAGTAATGTTACAGACAGCTCGCAGCTGGCAGCTTCACCTGATCTTTTTGCCTGCGATGTGGAGAAGCTGCAGATCATCCAATCCATCCAATCCCATGGGCACAATGGGGCCTACCAGCAGCAACTCACCCTGCCTGGAGGACTCTTGCGGGACCCCAACAAGCCACAACCTCGTGACACAAGGCAAAGTGGGATGGTCACCCCAACAAGCCACATTTCAAGCGCTGAAATCTGGGGTTTTTCTACGTGTTTGTCCATTGTACTGCAGATAACCGCCGTGTCTCCAAGCCAATTTCCACATGCTGTTTGTTGTTTAACCACCCAAATATGATCTATAACACATACATGTACATGTAAATGTACATATAATTATACATATGCATCTACATCTACATTTACATCTGCACATACATATACATACATCAAGAGTCCCCACAGCCCGCAGGGGCCACCCACCGTTCTTTTTGTTGGCTCCAGCTGGGTTCGCGGACAGCCGCAGCAGCAGAGCCACTTCAGGCTGAAGATGAACATGGCCCATGCAATCTTGGCAAAGAAAATGCCCACCTGTGAATTGTCATCACTTGGAGCATCATCCCTGCCTAGGGACGAGTATTGTTAGGATGTTCGTGGAACTAGGCTCTCAACTTCAGGCTCGATGTCTCAATGTTCGTTGGGATGGTATAATCATTATAATCTGGTTACATTGTAAATGGGATAATGTGCCCATTGATAGTTTTCTGAGATCCTTCCAAATTGGGGTTTTTTATTTATAAATCCTGGGATGATCCTCCTATGTGGTGTCGTGGGAGGAACCTCATCATCCCATCGTTTCACTTCAGTCTCAACATCGGGCACGTTGCGGCTGGACCCCCTGCATGATATGTTGTTAACAATAAGGCTTAGGGTCAAACAATATGTCGAGCAAGGTCAAACCCATATATATATATGTATATATATACATACATACATACATACATTACATTACATTACATTACATTACATTACATTACATTACATTACATTACATTACATTACATTACATTACATACATACATATATATATATATACATATACTCAATTCTACTATACAAGTAATTGCTGGAAAACAGCTGCAAAAGCCAACTTCCGTGACCTTTCCAACCAACTTTCCAACTTCTAGCGGCTAGCGCCTTCAAAGTGACGTAGAGTACCTTGACAGCAGGGGCAGGGTTGATGCGGTGTGCCCCATCCATCCTTAGATGTGTCCTTAAACGCACGGTTGTCTTTGTATTATCCATTGTCTATATTATATATATACACATATAAATGTACGTATATAATACACAACACATATTGCACACATCAATTTACAACGTCATACAAAGTTTGATCCAACGATCAAGTTGCGGTACACGATTGAAATGCCAAGCAAGGCTGGCCAAGATCTGCACCAACCCCTTTCAACGAGTCCAACCCATGACGAGCTCAACGTCCGTCGAAGAGCAAAACCATCAACATTTCTGGATTCTTTCAGTGACTTGCGAGGGTACTTGCAGCATTAAAGTATGGCAAGTTTCGGCGAGAAAATTTGATTCACATGAAAGCCCCGTTGACAACCCCTGACTGCACCAACTAGCGCATATTTTGCTACTTATATTTTTTTGATTCTTTAGTAACTTGGATGCAAGGCTGGAACCGCAAAATCATATGTGGGAGACTTGGGCCTTTGAAGCCAAGTGATGGTACGAGTGAGGCAAGTGAGTCAAGTGAGGCAAATCTCACAAGGTACAAGTGATGTAGCTGGCACCAACGCTTCGTGAACTGCGGCTGTGTGGGTCTAGGGTTGCCTGGCTGGGCCTAGCTCTTTTTCAGCTATTTCGTGAACTGTGTTTTTGTGCAAGCAAATATGCATATTGTGCGAATTCCGGTAATTTGCTAGCTTCTCTGGTGTAGTTTTTCGATGTTTTTCGTATATCATTACCACCCCGTGATTCTAAAAAAACCGATTAGTTGACATTAGAAAATCATGTCTGCAGTAGGCCAGTCATGGATGATCTCACCACCTCCATTCAACCAGCCTCACCAGTCAGCTGAGGGACAGCCACCACCCAGAAGCAGAACATCAGCAGATCTCCCGGACTGCGCTTGATGACCCCGCGATGGCTTGGCAGTATTCGCCTTGGTTGCGAAGAACCGAAGACGCCTTCAGAGCCAAGAAGTCATGGAGTTCATAGATCTACGCCTGTAGCGTGAAAATTCCATGATTCTAATACATACAATACAATATACAATACGCAAATATATGCAATACAATACAAGTACGATTACAATTACATTACAATTACATAACATTAACATAACATAACATGACATACCATAACATAACATAACATACATTAGACATATATGGCTAGGGTCAATGATTAAATAATTGTTGGATGTTTTTTCCCGAGAGCGTCTGAGCGCAGGGTTCTTCTAATAGTGGGGGTCTGTGAAACATCTTCTCATTTTCACGTCCTCACATGTTCACATCTTCTCATCTTCACATATCTTCACATCTTCTCATCTTCACATCCTCACATCTTCACATCTGTTCATCTTCACATCTTCTTCTCCTCACATCCTCACATCTTCACATCTTCTCATCTTCACATCCTCACATTTTGCCCTCTTGCTCTCTTGCCCTCTTGCTCTCTTGCCCTCTTGCTCTCTCCTTCTTTTCTATTTCTCTCTTGAAGGCGCGGGGCAGTGCCAACGAGACGGCAAGAAACGCAACCCTTTCGCACGAAATGACGTTCGATCGCCAAAAACTGAGGTAAAATTGCGATTTCCGGGTTCCCGTCGCAACCCTTTCGCACGAAATGAGGTTCGATCGCCAAAAACTGAGTTAAAATTGCGATTTCACTTGTCCAATCGCAACCCTTTCGCACGAAATGAGGCTCGATCGCCAAAAACTGAGGTAAAATTGCGATTTCTCTTGTCCGGGCGCAACCCTTTCGCACGAAATGAGGTTCGATCGCCAAAAACTGAAGTAAAATTGCGATTTGCAAGTTGTCCGGAGAAGTGTGTAAAAGCTTCTGTGTGTAAAAGCTTCTGTGTGTAAAAGCGTCTGTGTGTAAAACCGTCTGTGTGTAAAAGCGTCTGTGGGTAAAAGCGTCTGTGTGTAAAAGCGTCTGTGTGTAAAACTCTCTGTGTAAAAGCTTCTGTGTGTAAAAGCGTCTGTGTAAAAAGCGACTGCGGGTAAAACCGTCTGTGTGTAAAAGCGTCTGTGTGTAAAAGCGTCTGTGTGCAAAAGCTTCTGTGTGTAAAAGCGTCTGTGTGTAAAAGCGTCTGTGTGTAAAAGGGTCTGTGCGTAAAAGCGTCTGTGCGTAAAAGCGTCTGTGTGTAAAAGCGTCTGTGTGTAAAAGCGTCTGTGTGTAGAAGCGTCTGTGTGTAAAAGCGTCTGTGTGTAAAAGCGTCTGTGCGTAAAAGCTTCTGTGTAAAAGCGTCTGTGTGTAAAAGCGTCTGTGTGTAAACGCGTCTGTGTGTAAAAGCGTCTGCGTGTAAAAGCTTCTGTGTGTAACAGCGTCTGTGTGTAAAAGGTTCTGCGTGAAAAAGCGTCTGTGTCTAAAAGCGTCTGTGTGTAAAAGCGTCTGCGTGTAGAAGCTTCTGTGTGTAAAAGTTTCTGTGTGTAAAAGCTTCTGTGTGTAAAAATCTCTGTGTAAAAGCGTCTGTGACAGTCTGTGTGTAAAAGCTTCTGTGTGTAAAAGCGTCTGTGTGTAAGCTTCTGTGTGTAAAAGTCTCTGTCTGTAAAAGTGGTTGTGTGTAAAAGTGTTTGTGTGTCAAAGCGTCTGTGTAAAAGCTTCTGTGCGTAAAAGCGTCTGTGTGTAAAAGTCTCTGTGTGTAAAAGTGTTTGTGTGTAAAAGTGTTTGTGTGTAAAAGCGTCTGTGTGTGAAAGCTTCTGTGTGTAAAAGCTTCTGTGTGTAAAAGTCTCTGTGTGCAAAAGCGTCTGTCTGTAAAAAGTTCTGTGTGTGAAAAATTATACGAAAGATACGATGCAAACCTATTGTCTTGTACTTGTAATATATTGTCTTGATACTACTCTTTTCGTCTGCCTATAATACATCTTTAATATATTGTCTTCCAATATAGTGTCTCCATACTAACAACAGAAGACTCTGCTCCTCTACGCTCTCGGGCCATCCATCGTCTATTTTTTTTGGTGTGTCTCTTTCTCGCGGGTTACTATTACAAAGATATGCATGTCCCAAAGAACTATCGGGAGGTTCACCCATGAAAAGTTGCTTTGTGTGGTTTGGCTGACAAAGATCAGGTTCCGATGAGTCGTGCACCAACAAGAATTGGGTTTTGGTAAAAAAAATACGAATTCAAACAAAGCCTGAGGGAAAACATCGACGGTCCTGCCTGTGCCATTAAAGAAGGCGTCCCAACCCGAAATGACTGGGCAAGCATTTCTGTCCGATCCACATGTCCCTTGTGACTCAAAATGTGGTACCAATGAACCAGCAAACTGGTGATTAGATGTCATGTTGCATCATTATCAAGCAAAAATTATGTGTATATACATATATATATATATGGATATTGCTAGAAATTATAATATATATATATATACATACACACAGCGTTCACACAGCAACGTGTATGTATCTGGTGTATATATATATATATAACTATCTATCTATATATATATATGTGTGTGTACATCTATTTTGTGCGGTTCATGAATTTGAAGCCTATCAGGCCAATTTAAACATATTTCGACCAGTCAAATCATCTAAATGTCATCCAGGCTCCGATGAAGTCCCTTCCCAGCAATGCCCAGTGGCTCGAAGCCGTCAATGATCGCAGTGGTCACTGACGGCAGAGCGGTCAAAATTTCAGACGGCAACGCCCCGGGACCCACAGGATACTCGGCAGAGTAGATAACCAATCCAATAGTACATTGCAAAATTACAACATATTACAACTAACAAATGGGATTCATCCAACTCTGAAAAAAAAATATTTAAAGAAAAAAAAATCATCCCTGCAAGCTTTTGGCTCTTGCTCTGGGCAACACATCTGGACAACACCGGGCTCTCCCCGGTCATGGCTCTCCCCGGGTTCCGCCATTCGCCTTGGGACAGCATCTGATAGACTCTGGAGCCATGTGCCTCGATGTTTCGCATGGTGAATGTCCTATCATCTGCAGGTAGAAATTACCCTCTGGTTATGTCAAACATAGCTATTGCAAATGGCTATTGAAATAGTGGATTTTCCCATGAAAAATGATGTTCCATAGTTTTTTGTAAACGTTTACCAGAGGGTAAGGCTTGAAACCTGTTGAACATGCCAAGACATTGTCATAAAACATGAATAAAACTAGACTTATGTTCACCAAACCATAGCTTATTCTTATTTTTTTAAAACTTGAAAAAAAGCGCGAAAAATGCCAAAAAAAAAAGGAAAAACCAAAAAGCAAATCAGCAAAATCCAAAAAACACAAAAGCAAAATAAAAGGGAAAAAAAAGGGAAACAAAAAGGAAAGACAAAAAGGGGAAAAAATGGGAAAAAAATGGACTTGTCCATTTGCATTTTTGTTGCTTTTTTTTGCTTTTTCGATTTGCTTTTTTTTGCTTTTGTTTTGCTTTTATTTTACTTTTTTTTTGCTTTTTTCCAGGCAAAAAGCAAAAAAAAAGCAAAATAAAAGCAAAACAAAAGCAAAAAAAAAGCAAAAAAAAAGCAAATCGAAAAAGCAAAAAAAAAGCAACAAAAATGCAAATGGACAAGTCCATTTTTTTCCCATTTTTCCCCCTTTTTGACGTTCCTTTTTTTTCCCATTTATTTTGCTTCCTGTTTTTTTTGGTTTTGAAGTTTTGCTTTTTGATTTTCCATGCGTTTTCCTTTTTTTTTTGCTTTTTTTCAAGTTTAAAAAACATTAGAATAAGCTATAGAGGTGGACATAAAACTAGACTAGACCTGATCACATGGCTTTTTAAGTGCTTGCCTATTTCCTAAATTTCACCTTGGGTAAATTGCATTAAATTACATCATATATGATCAACCACAAACCTATTATGATTGATTTCACCATTGAAGTTCTTCTTGCTACCATCATTCTCCCCTCCATGTCTTTCATATGCCCCACCTGCGCTTGTTCGCTGGCGCTGCTTGCCAGGGAGGCAGCAGAGTCCATGTGCTTCAGGAGCTGCTGCTTGTCTACTCCGACCTGCCACGAAAAAACCTGGGGTCAACGGGGTCAACTCGTCGTTTCGTCCCGTAGAAACGGGTGAAATCCGGAAAACCTTGGATGGTGGGCCAACCCATCAATAATGGGAACCACTTATCAACTGGTGCAGGATTTGTTCCATCAACAGTATAATCATAGATATCATAGATTAACAAATGATATTTATGATATTATAATATATTATATACTGATACACTGGTCGTATCTGGTGGTGACATCCAAATAGTTCGGTTATTTTTCACCAATAGGATTCAGTACAGATTTCCTGGTGGCTCTGGGGGTCTCATTTTTCTCACTGACGCTGATGGTCTCACTGGTGTCTTTCCTTGCACGAAAAAAGACTCAAATGGAATTCCCGCAATGTCAACTTGGTGAAATCTCCAACCAGTCTCAACTCGACTTACTGCTAGACCCTTCGGGAATGGATGGGAATGGGATTTTATTGCGAACATAGATGAAAATATTTTTTTCATAGATGAACATAGCCATGTTCATCCATTTTAGATTGGGATTTTCCATGAAATAAATCATTTACCCTCTGGTAAATTAACATAGACCCTGGCAGATAGGGTTTGGAAGATAAGTTTCCATTAAAACTAGGCTATTTTCAGGGTCTATGTTAATTTGCCAGAGGGTAAATCATCCATTTCAATTGAGGCTTCCATCATCTGAATGGGATGTTCCTCTGGGATTTTCCGCACCTTGCTGCAGATCTCAGCCATGGGATCCTGACGGAAAAAAAAAAAACGGACCTCAACGTGACGTGGAAAAATTATAGATTTCATATAGATGATTGTAGATTTATCATAGATTAGTATAGATAAAAATTATAGATTTCTTATAGAATGGTATAGATTTCTTTTAGATTAGTAATGATTAGTATAGATTATAGATTGTTAGAATTCCAAATAATTCCAAATGATTCCAAGTTTGGTGCCTTCCTAAACTAGAAACCACCACCCAGCGCTCAGGGATGGGGCCCTTGGAACCCTTAGGGCCCTTGGGGCAAACCGGAAAATGCTATACCCTCTGGTACACAAACATAGCTATTAAAAATTGCCATGTATAATGGATTTACACATTAAAAATTGTGATTTTCCATAGTTTTCTGTATGTTTACCAGAGGGTCCCCCATCAATCCAATGTCCGATATTTCGCATATATTTGCTGAAGGAAAAAAAAACAGTTCTGTAGTTTACCCAGTTTACCCCTTTCGTCGCCTGAAACATGAGTCACTAAGCATGCCCCTATGCCATCCCGTTATACGGGTTGGTTCAGAAATATTCCTACTGTAGTTTGGTTCATAATCTATAGCAACCCACAGAGGTACTTTTATATCACCAGAGTTGATAGATGTTGATAGGTTGATCTGTAATAACACATAGCACTCTACAATAAATTTATAATAATAAATGGGAATCTATGATAAATCTAAGATATTTTAATAATCTGTAATACCCCATACTAATCTATAATAATCAGCAGGAATCAAATGACTCACACGTTGAAGTCACCAAAAATCGTCCCGCCTCTGGAATCATTGGCGTTATCGCCTCCCTCACCTTCAACGAATGCCACGAAGCGGCGTTGCCAGTTCAATGGACAATCCACTATATATTTAGTTTGATCATTTTCCCAGCTATAAACCTCCACAGCTATGTTAAATTAGCAAAGGGATGCAAAGGGGTAGATAATTACTGGGGTCAAGGGAAACTCTTCAATGGTGGGTGAAATTTGCACGTAGCGTTGGAGAAAAATCTGGTGGAAAGCAACAACCAGAATACTCCCAGAATCACAAACCTCGAGGTTTCCGTGCAAAGATCAGGCTGTGTTTTCCGTCATATAGGGAATTCAGAACGTGTTGGTTGGAACTTACAAACTTGACTCAGATCACAGAAAGAAAAAACACATTAGTGCATAAGCACCACAACCTCCCCATCTATTCTGGCAACGTTGGGCTCAGGAACGGTCTTGCTGTGCTTCTCTACATGATGCACCAGCAGCTTGTTGTAAACTGCCTCAGTTCGTCGGCAGCTTCCGAATGGATTCCCAGTTTAATGGATTATGGTCCCCAATTAATATAGATGATGATTTATGATAGTCACCAATTGATACAAAGTAAATGGGTATAAATGGTAGGTTTCCCTACTTATTCGAAATGGTAGGTTAATTTAGGTTCAAAGTTGATAACCCTGGCCAACTGGTCGCGGCTCACCTGGCTAACAGACCAACGGCTAGGCTTAGGAAAGCATGGCCCTACAAGTGAGACCACTGACTTTGGCGGCTAAGGAGCACTGTAGATGTCATAGAGAAGCTCACCCGTTCCTTCAGATTTGGGGCTGAAGTTCGGATGAACTCAGCGATTGAAGTCCCAGTGGTCCGAAAATGTCATGCTGCTGGGGGAATTCTTCCTGGTTTGCCATCACCACTACCAAGCATTCTTGTCATTGTCACGAAGGCTGCTTCAAGTGTGTGTTCAAGTGTGTTCACTTTTGTGGCTGCCGGACGGGCATAGAGCCATGCTCCATGCAAGGGCTGCCGCCAACAGAGGCTGGAAACATGGAAATATCGTGACATGTTCATAACATCCTGGATGACTCGACATCCCAGCACCCCTATTTTTTGCTTGGATACACTTTCCAATGAGCTCCGCAATCTCACCAAATCAAGGCAAAAACAAGAAGAATCCTTTCCATAATTTTACCCTCCCCACCAGTCCGAGTCTCCATGTATGAGGTCAGTGGTCACAATGGGTTTCTTGGTCTCTTGCCCAAAAACCGCACCCAGCAGTGTTACTGCCAGCACAGCGCGAAACGGTGGCGCCATGCTACCTGGTCGGCCAATGAAAACATGGCTTTATACTCCGCATATTGAACATTCTGTGTATGAAGACATATGGCTATGGGTCAAAACCCTGGTACCTTGAGTACCCTAAAGTAGCTTGTGAATGGATGGTTATTCCCCCCTATAGTAATAATAGGTTTCAGTTTTGACCCATCCCCATATTCGTCAACCGGATCAGCCCCGGCCCGTTGATCCGGTCTCCACGGTGCCGCCAGCCTTCAGCTTCGCTCAGCTGCTCACGGTGTGTCACAGTCTCGCGCGGACCCCATGTGGACTGAACCGTGGACAGCTGCGGTGAAGCACCAGATCTGACCGCTCAGCGGCTTGGGATTTTTGGCTATCTACTATTCATTCCCATCCCAAAAAAAATGAAACCTTCCTAACTGATGGATTCACTTCTTATTCTCGTTCTTAAAGATGATTGAAAATGGATGTACTATCAATTGTTCCATTGCCACTCGTTCAATGTGAGAAGTGTTTCGCCATTTGAACTCGAAGGGAATGACCACAAGACCACTCCATGTCACAGAAAATCCAATGAGCACATCCACCGCGTATATCATCTGGGTTAAATCACCAATCCACCAATCATAGGGTCAGATGCTCAGATGCTCCGCTGCCAATATCACCCTGGCTAACGTCTAGCGGCTTCATCTCGGGGTTCCTTTGAGGCGATCAGGGCACTTTAAAACTCTCTGGTAAACAAAACTCATATGGCAGTGTGTCAAAACCTTGTACCCCTGGTGAACCCCAAAATAGCTGGTAAATTTATGTTCATCCCACTAAAAATGGTATCTATAGGTATTGACCCATACCCATATCCACTACTACGATACTACGATGGATCATAAAGTCAACCCTGATGAATCAAGCCTGCCAAGTGGACAGCCCCAACTCAAGTGATTTCGTCGGCGAATATGATTTCCCCCAACACAAAGATCGACAAAACAACTTGAGCATGACATCTTATCGTGATTGGTTTATCATTTCTCCTGGGACAAAGACAAATGGCAACTCGGCACAAGGCGTACTTCAATGTGCCCTTGTACTCCATGCCCCACTTCAGCTTCGTAAGCACCTTGCTTAGCCCGGGTCGGTTGCAAGAAGAACGATCTAAGGACGGATGAAAAAACACTCAGAGGGTGTAGATACGAAGCTGTACATTGTATATCGTACGTGGTATGTATCAAATCAATTCAAATCAATCATGTGTGTAGGTAGATAGATAGATAGATAGATAGATAGAGAGATAGATAGATAGATAGAGAGATAGAGAGATAGAGAGATAGAGAGATAGATAGATAGATAGATAGGTAGATAGGTAGATAGGTAGATAGGTAGATAGGTAGATAGGTAGATAGGTAGATAGGTAGATAGGTAGATAGATAGGTAGATAGGTAGATATAGAGGTAGATAGGTAGATAGGTAGATAGGTAGATAGGTAGATAGGTAGATAGGTAGATAGAGGTAGATAGGATAGACAGATAGACAGATAGTAGATAGGATAGACAGATAGGACAGATAGGACAGATAGACAGATAGACAGATAGATAGAGAGATAGATAGATAGATAGATAGATAGGGTAAGTAAGATAGATAGATAGATAGATAAAGATAGATAAGATAGATAAGATAGATAAGATAGATAAGATAGATAAGATAGATAAGATTAGATAGATAGATAAGATAGATAAGATAGATAAGATAGATAAGATAGATAAGATAGATAAGATAGATAAGATAGATAAGTAGATAAGATAGACGATAGATAGAGAGAGATAAGATAGATAAGAATAGATAAGATAGATAAGATAGATAAGATAGAGAGATAGATAAGATAGATAAGATAGACAAGATATACAAGATAGAAGATAGATATAAGATAGATAAGATAGATAAGATAGATAGAGATAGATAAGATAGATAGATAGATGGATGGATAGATAGATAGATAGGTAGATAGATCGATAGATAGATAGCAAGATAGATGATAAGATAGATAAGGCAGATAAGGATAGATAAGAATAGATAGATAAGAATAGATAGATAAGAATAGATAGATAAGAATAGGTAGATAAGAATAGATAGATAAGAATAGATAAGAATAGGTAAGAATAGATAAGAATAGGTAAGACTAGATAAGAATAGATAAGAATAGATAAGAATAGATAAGAATAAGAATAGATAAGAATAAATAGATACGAATAGATAAGAATAGATAAGAATAGATAGATAAGAATAGATAAGAATAAGAATAGATAAGAATAGATAAGAATAGATAAGAATAGATAAGAATGGATAAGAATAGACAAGAATAGATAAGAATAGATAAGAATAGATAAGAATAAGAATAGATAAGAATAGATAAGAATAGATAAGAATAGATAAGAATGGATAAGAATAGACAAGAATAGATAAGAATAGATAAGAATAGATAAGAATAAGAATAGATAAGAATAGATAAGAATAGATAAGAATAGATAAGAATGGATAAGAATAGACAAGAATAGATAAGAATAGATAAGAATAGATAAGAATAGATAAGAATAGATAAGAATAGATAAGAATAGATAAGAATAGATAAGAATAGATAAGAATAGATAGGAATAGATAAGAATAGATAAGAATAGATAAGAACAGATAAGAACAGATAAGCACAGATAAGAATAGATAAGATTAGATAAGATTAGATAAGATTAGATAAGCTTAGATAATCTTAGATAAGATTAGTTAACAATAGATAAGAATAGATAAGAATAGATAAGAATAGATAAGAATAGATAAGAATAGATAAGAATAGATAAGAACAGATAAGAACAGATAAGAACAGATAAGAATAGATAAGATTAGATAAGCTTAGATAAGCTTAGATAAGCTTAGATAAGAATAGATAAGAATAGATAAGATTAGACAAGATTAGACAAGATTAGATAAGATTAGATAAGATTAGATAAGCTTAGATAAGATTAGATAAGCTTAGATAAGCTTAGATAAGATTAGATAAGCTTAGATAAGCTTAGATAAGATTAGATAATATTAGATAAGATTAGATAAGATTAGAAAAGATGAGATAAGATTAGATAAGATTAGATAAGATTAGATAAGATTAGATAAGATTAGATAAGATTAGATAAGATTAGATAAGATTAGATAAGATAGATGGATAGATGGATAGATGGATGGATGGATGGATAGATAGATAGGTAGATAGATAGATAGATAGATTAAATTAGATTAAATCAGATTAAATTAGATTAAATTAGATTAAATTAGATTAAATTAGATTAAATTAGATTAAATTAGATTAGATTAGATTAGATTGATAGATAGACAGGTAGACAGGTAGATAGATAGATAGATAGATGGGATAGGATAGATGGGTTAGGATAGGATAGGATAGGAGAGGATAGGATAGGATTAGATAGATAGGATAGGATAAGATAAGATAAGGTAAGGTAAGATAGGGTAGGATATGATAAGATAGGATAAGATTAGATTAGATCGATAGATCGATAGATCGATCGATCGATCTATCTATCGATCGATCTATCTATCTATCGATCTATCTACCTATCTATCTATCTATCTACCTGTCTATCTATCTTTCAATTTAATCTAGTCTTATCTAATCTAATCTAATCTATATATATACATGTGAAAAAAGAAAAAAACCTGTGAAAAACATGTGAGGCCTAAATCCCAAACAACATCCATTCAAAAATTCTGTGAAGCCCCTTTTTCACATGTTTCTATCAACCCAATGAGTCCATGCTGAGCCACGAGTTTCCCGGTCAGGTCGTTCAAAAAGGGCTTGGGATTCACGGGCACAGTTGCCATGGCTATCCACACCTGCAGATTTTCCCCCAAGGCCAAAATCCGATCAGCAATGGCTTGGAATTCCCATCAGGGAACATTACCCTTCACTAAATTCTGTTGTATGGCAAGGTCAAATTCAGATTGGATCAAAGTTGAAATCCTTGTGTTCGGGTCAAAGATGTCGAACACATGTTTTGACTCAAACATGACATCCGCTTCATCAGTGACTAACATGGACATGTCGGACGTGGCTTGGATACGAATCATCGCAATGAACAACCTTACAATATCATACAATCATAGCCCAAGATCCAGGATCACCTTGGAAAATTTTGGTGGCAAAATAAGATAGCAGCAGCCTTGGATACAACATATGATCAACTTTGGGCCCTTTCCAGCCATTTGGATGGCAAAATCAACTCCTCCCGGCCGTGGATGGCCTCTGAATTGCACGACGCGTCAATTGGGCGGACTTCCTTCTCTAGCACATCCGAGCCGCGAACAGCCAGCAGCATCAGCATCATTGTCAGTCATAGCAAAAGTGTCATGTTCCTCTTCATCAAAGTAGTGATAAGCATCAATAGATTGAATCATGAACAACAACAACAACAACAACAACAACAACAACAACAACAACAACACATTCCTTTTCCACCTGTCACCAAATGACCCAAACATTGACATCGCACTGGGTCACCCAAACGTTGGAGTTCCTGGAATCGATCCTCCAAAATCTTGGCATCTCCTGGACAGCCATGGGATTTCGATGGCCCTAATCGAAATAGATGGTTTACCGAGCTATAAAAATGGGCAGATTTTCCATGGCTATGTTAGTCATAACCAGATGGTACATTTTGGGAAAATTCTATGTGTTGCAGATATCGTATGTATACAAAAAAAAAATACACGTATGATACTAAGCATGCATGTTTACATCCACAGTACAGTGTATCATATATAGTTATACACACATGTTATTGCGGATGCAAAATAGTATGTGAATATGTACTGTGGATATAAATGCAAGAGAATATTTTATATTATTGTGAATGCGGAACCATCGTGATTCTGACTGGGTCTTGCATCATGTGAAGTGCTGAATCACCAAGACGCAGAGACGCAGGTCGTGATCCTCAAAAGAGATTGTATCAATGGATTGGTTGAAGGAAAAAATTACACCGGAAAAGTCCATAATCATGGTAAAATCCATGGCCTCCAGTGTAGATTTCCCCCTAAACCAATCCATTGATACAGTATGTTTCTGCCAATCTCAAGTTTCATTTGCAGACCCACGACATGAAAATAGTGGGTTGCCAAACCATCTTGGAGGACTGAATTTTAAGCCCATCAATTTCCCTTGCTCAACCCACACAAATCAGTAAGAACGGTGAACACTTCATAAAATGAATGGTTGCAAATGGTGAATCTGTACTAAACATGGTCAGCCATTTGTTGGGCAAAAATTTCTACGCCAATTCTGACCCATACCCCACCTAGCACCGGAAATAAGGGCTTCGCAACGTTTGTCTTGTTCGGGGTTCATGTGCTTAAAACAATCATAAACCATCCCCCAAATCGACATAAATATATATATACATAAATAGGTTGTATAAACCATTCCCAAATGATTGTATTATTATTGTTTTACCCACATTATACCATTTGTAACGGGGCTATAACTTACAGTCATGGCGACCACCGAAAAAAACGATGCACCACTGGCCGCATCAACTGGCTGCCACCTTGACCATTCAAAAGATCAACGTCTGAAGCCGAGAGACCTGACAATCAGCCGGGGCAATGGATGTTTCCGTTTCAGTTACGGGATATCACTTCATCAAAGGAGGACAAGATAGTGACAATGAAAAATATCGTTTGGCTGAAAAGAGACCACACAAAAAACTATGTTTTTTGTGGCTTTTCAAACATACTTCACGCCTTTTGAAAACATGAGACGCACTTGCAAGACAAGACATGTGCAGCGCAGCATGTCCTGCATCGAATCTCATGCTGGTTCGATGTCATCGCTGCTGATGAGTCATCTTTTTCGCTTCAGCGATGCACCCTGGCTGTTTTCTATATCGGATTGAACCGATGCGAGTGCAAAAGAGACGCACGGGGATTATCATGAATTATCTGGATGAAGGCGGCGCTACAAGCACGGGTTTTTTCAAGAGTCGTTCAGCTGCGCAGCCAGATGACATAAAACGATTGAAAGCCTCGCCAGCTGAAACAGCCAAATCGCAAACCAACTTGGTGTAAATGCACTTCTTCTGCACGGACACAGGTGGCTTATCTCAAGTTGATGTTTGCCCTCCATGCAAATCGCGTCGGTTCATTGCGATGCAGTGCAAATCTTCAAGTCTACAGGAACAGATATAACTTGATTTCGCCTCGAACAAGAGAAAGACAACCTATCTCAAAGTAGAATTTCAGGGACACTGGCACGCCACAATTTGCCACGCTGGCGTCCATGGAAGGATCAGTCATTGCTTTTGGTGGTTAGTGAATCACCAGCAGTGCTGTAGTCTATATCCATATCTCTGACCTCGGGGCAACATGGTACAACCCTGACCACATAAACAACCTTTCCGGCAAGTCTAAGCGCGCACTGGCACGCCACAGCAACTAGCAAACGGATGTTCATCCCTTAAATATACAAGTTCTGATCCACCCACCTTTGATGTTTGCATATGTCTTCGAGGTGGGTGCCATCTGTCATCAAAGGAGCCCCCAAATCAATCAGATGTCATCATTCATCCAGGACATAACAAAGGGATCACACCCTAAGTCCCACAAAAAAATATCCGAGTTGATCTCCGGTTAGATTTGTTGGAACCTGGGACCTGATATGACGTGATACCATCTGGTTATTTAACATAGCCATGGTATAGATGGCCCATTTATAGATGGTTTACCTATTAAAAATGGTGATTTTCCATAGTTATGTTAGTTTACCAGAGGGTATCTCCCACAATAATATACAGTATATATATATATGATGATAGTACATATTGTTAAATAACCAGAGGGTAATATTTGGTGACCACTGGGTTTCCCCAGGCCCCGATTATCCCCACCTGCCAGCAGCCGTTCCAGGGTGGAGTTGGGCACTTGCGCCAGCTCCCGCCGGAGTCTGGGCGATACATATGGGGTGTACCCACCAAGGGTAGGGATATATATATATATATATGTGAATATATGTACATGTATGTGCATATGTACATGTATATCATGTATATCATGTATATACGTTTATATATATATATTATCATATATTATGTATAGCATATAATATATTCATGTGTGTGTGTGTGTCACCACTTGATAATCCATGATTGTAGGCATTTGATCATCTCCCGAAGAGAGTTGAATCCCCATGGTCATCTCATGTGCTGAGTAAAGTAAAGTCGCCATTGAAGGTTCGATGGATCCCGTTTTTTGATGATGGTAGTTTCACTACTCAGAAAATCATCGTCCGTAAACATTCTCATACCAGAAACATCCTGGTTTTCTGTGTGGGCAAGTTATAAGAATTGACCAACCTTTTCACTAGGATCCCGGGTCTCAAAAATCATCGCATAAATGCGCTTCCAAAAAAAGCGTCACAAGGTGAGGTCGTTGCCGTCCAGATAAACTGGCCCAACTGGCCAGTTTGAAACCTCATTGTTGTTTCTACTACCCTCTGGTAAACTAACATAGCCAGGGAAAATCACCATTTTTAATGGGAAAACTCACGATTTCTATGGTCATTTTCAATAGCTATGTTAAATTACCAGAGGGTATCTCATTGTCCCCATGACTTTGTTCCTGAAATCCTGCCTTTTTGCGGATCTGATCTCCGATGGGGCCCAAAAAAAAACATCCCAGCCAAAAGATCCATAAACATCATCCATAAACCATCCATACTGATCATTGAATCCCCAATGTTTGGTAAAATCCTCATGTCTGCTGGTGAACCTGCAGTATTTGCTCATAAAATCACCATTTTTGCTGGTGAATTCCAATTGTTCGGCCATGAAATCATCATTTTTGCTAGTAAGGGTCCCTAAACATATGCCGACAAGTGTTTCCAGGATGGTATAGATTTTTTTTCCACCGCAATTGATTACAGTATATTAATCCATGTTCATTGAATCCACAGTTTATATTCATCCATATTAAATCCCAATTGTGTATATCCAAAATGATTGCAGTATATCCCACTTTGATATTCCCATTACATCCCAATTGTTGATGGTTAAACCCAATTTTTCATGCTTCATAGTATCAATCCCCTAGTCTGGACAAAATATGTTATTTTTGTCTTTTGCGTATATGTATCTATCTATCTATCTATCTACCTATCTATCTATCTATCGATCGATCTACCTACCTACCTACCTACCTCCCTATCTATCTATCTATCTATCGATCGATCTACCTACCTACCTACCTCCCTACCTACCTATCTATCTATCTATCTATCTATCTATCTATCTATCTATGTGTATATAGATATGTCAAAATGTACTGTGAAGTTTATATCCCCATTAATCCAACACCCTGATTCTATGGTCCCAAATATGTGCAAATCCCCTGTTGAACCATGGTTACTGCGGGGTCTTTAATGTTAGGGGGCCGGGACCAATCGACGAATCCATTAATCCACTGTATATTAATCCATTAACAACAATCTATATCAAAATTTACCATATCCCCATTATCTTCCAGTAATCAAACCTGTCAATAGGAAATTCCCCGAACTAAATGGAGGTTTTATTGGGAAATCTTCTATAAATGGGGAAAAATCCAGCAAGCCATATTCTATTAATAACAACCTATATTACCGAATTTCCAAAACACATCTCAACCCAAGTAATGGAGACAATTACTATATATATATATACATACATGCATACATCTTTTAAAACGGTAGATCATCAGTTTTGTCATCGAACTAAATGAGCCATGGCTTCCATAGCAAATTGTTACATAACATAAGGGCATATATCATTATATTGTATAATCCATCAAAAGAA